CCCCTGCCCCACTAAGCTACTTTTTGTCCCTTTGGAAAGAGAATATGGAACTGTATAATATGTATTTTTTCCTTCTGACTTCTGTCTCTGAGTATGATGTTTCTGCGGTCCACCCGCGGTGCACTGTGTGTGAGCCCTTGAATCCTTTCTATTGCCAACTGCTGTTCAGTGGTATTTCGTATCATCCATTTAGCTGATGAATATTTGGGTTGTTTCACTTTTTGGTTTTTTTTATTCATTAGTATGAATACAGCTGTGAAAATAGTTGTGTACCTATTTTCTGTAGGCTCTCCGTAGACATGTTTTTTTCTTAGGACTATACCTAGGCATGAAATTCCTGGTTTATATGTTAACTCTATGCTTAATATTTTGAGGGGCTGCCAGACTGTTTTCCGAAGTAGCAGCACCGTTTTGCATTCCTATCAGCAATGTATGAGGCTTCCAGTTTCTCCATATTCTTTCCAACACTTGTTATTGTCTATTTAAAAAAAATATATAGCCATTTTAATGGGTGTGAAGTGTTTTAATTTGCCTTTCCCTAATGACTAGATACTGGCTGCTTTTTATGTATTGGCCATTTACTTATATGTTGTCTTTGGAGAAATGTCCATTCAAACCCACTACCCATTTTTAAATTGAGTCAGGCATCTCATTATGGAGTCATGAGAGATCTTTATGTATTCTGAATACAAGTCCCTTATCAGATACATGATTTGCAAACATTTTCCCCAGTCTTTGGGTTGTCATTTCACCTTATTGATGGTGTTGTTTGACACACAAAAGTTTAAGACTTTGATGAAGTCCAGTTTATCAATTTTTCTGTTATTGCTTGTGATTTTTGGTATCACATCTAAGAAATAATTGCCTAATGCAAACTCAGGAAGATATATGTCTAAGTTTTCCGAGAATTTTAGCTCTTACGTTTAGTTCTGTGACCCACTGTGAGCTGATTTTCATGACGCAGCAAGAGGGACCCCACCTCGTTATCTTGGATATTCCATGCTCCTTGAATGGCCATGTGAATGTTAGAATCAGTTTGTCAGTATCTGCAAACAAAACAAAATAGCTGCTGAGGTCAGATTCTGGCAAGATTCAGAAAATAGCAGTGGCTCTTTGGGTCCCAGGGCAAACTCAAGTCTTGTGAGAAGCAGATCTAATTGTGAGCAGGGATGGGAGTCAGAAGGGGATTGGCAAGTGGAGCCGAAGGAGTCTGTGCAGGATGAGGGGAGGCTCAGGGCTGCAGGGGTGGGCAGAGTGCGCCCACCACACCGGGACGGTGCTCGGCTCCGTGTGGTGTGGCTGTGCCGGCCACTCTTCCAGGACTGCTGGTTCGGTGGAAGCTGTAGGCACGAGCCAGCTGGAGTGGGCAGCAAGGGACAGGGTCAGTATGTTTGAGTCCCTTGAGAAATGCAGTTAAGAAGGGGACAGAGACGGAGAGGAGGCAGGACTGGGGTGTGGCATCCAGACAGACATTAACAGAAAGCCTCCCGATGCCTTGACCTTCCTGAAGAGCTGCGGAGCCCCAGAAAGGGTCCGGTTGAGAGGGAGGGACCAGATATTTGAGAGGAATGTGGGATATGATTGATATTCCTGACCTTTTCACTGGTGGTGGGAAGGAGGACACATGAAGGCCAGACGCAGAGGTTGGCATCGGTGAGATGCAGGTGAGATGCAGGCTGCCCCCTGTGTCAGGGACCGGGAGGGAACAGAGGAGGGCTCGGGCGGGCGTGCACGCTGGTGTGTCCTGCTGAGCGGTGGGAATCTCTGCTGAGTGTGTGTCTGGGCAGGGCAGGGTATGCACGGGAGCGCCGAGACATGGGCTCCCTCTGAGGGAAGACCCTCCTTTGCAAGCTCAGTGGGGGCAGGTGGTAAGAGCTCCTGGCTCTGAAAACATTTAGGCTTTCCTCAATGACCACCTGGCCTCTCACTCAGCTTTCGGGTCCTTTGTTCTTATTTTTAGGGCAGGTGCGGGGGGGCGGGGCGTTTACGCAGAGGAAGGGGTTACTGGCAGTGCTGGGGCAGGGTTAGGGTCAGGGCTGGGTTCAGGGTGGTCTAGGAACCATTCCAGGAGCACATACCCTTCTGTGTGGGACCCTCCGGGAGGCTGTGGGACTGGAAGTGACCACAGACATTGGTGTCAGGAGGGAAGCGTGTGCTGTCTGTGGGCCCAGGGACCCCAAAGTGAGGGTATCCCCAGGTGGCCTCAGGGCAGCATGGCCTGCGAGAAGCTGGGGCTCTGGCTCCAGGGCTTTGTGCTGCTGTTCCATGGGAGCGGTCTCCATGCAGGCCTGGCCGGGCTGGTGCTGGGTCTGCAGCTGAGCCGCGGAACGTGGGTAGCATCAGGAGAGGGCTGTGGCCTGGGTCAGGGCTCTGGCCCCGCAGGACTCGCGTGTCACCTGCCAGTAGGCCCTGCTTGTTTATGGTCTGCTCATCGGGGTCGCGTAAAAGTGTCTGAGGCCTCTGTGGAGCCAGCAGGGTGCACTGTGCGAGGCCCTGGGGAGGCGTCTGGGACCCCTGCTCCCTAGTGGCTTGCTGTGAGCAGGGATTCAGAAGAGAGCATTAGAGACCTAAAAGGCCAAAACAAGGGCTTGTTGGAGGAAAACCTCCTCCTCACTTCAGATTCCTCACAGTAATGGCAGTGGCACTCTCACACATTCCCTTTGCACCAGGTGTGGCCAGGTGCAGGAGCAGAGGTGCTCTACCAGCCCCCATCCCTGTCCCCTCTCTGCCACCTGCTGGTGTCTGCCGGCAGCACGACTTCTGGAAGGGGCATCCTGATGGGATCCCCGTGTTTCTGCACAGGGCCTTTCTTTGGTCTGCGGGCTCTGAACCTGTTTGGGATGAGGGCACATGGGGTGAGGGCGGCTGAGTGTGTCCAGGAGGGAAGGGCCTTGTCTGCAGAGACCTGGCCACACATAGATCCCAGCGGGAGGTCGAGAGGTCCCCTTGGTTGTTTCCTAGCAAAGGAGAAGGTCCTTACTGGACTTGAAGTATTGACTATAGTTTGTGCCAGATATCTCCTAGGAAAAGGAAGGAATTATGTCAATGTAGGAATTGGTCCTCATAAATGAGATTCTCTGGTCCTGGGGTCATGTGACTTGTTTAAACCGGGGCTCTGCATCCCAGGGTGTGGTGCTAAAGACATCACTGGGTGCTGCTCTGTTCTCACAGAGAAGGCAGGAGTGGCTGTGTAGAGGTGGTGATGCCGGAGGGGGTGTTCTTGAAGCCCCAGAGCAGGTGTGCAGCACACGGCACGTGGGCAGGCTTCCTTTCCAGACTCTCCTGGGCAGGTGAGAGAGGAGACCCCTTGTGAGCTGGCCATCCTCAGACAAAACCAGAGGCTCCTTCTCAGAGCCTCACCTGGCCTTCCCCCGCTGGGCTTCTCTGGGAAGCAGGGGAGACCTGGAGCAGACAGAGTGCAGGGAGTCACACGGGTGGGGGTGCTTCTAAGGCACTCTGCTGCTGTGCCCAGGGGGAGGGAGCAATCCTGCTCAAAGCACAGATCTCAGCATCTGTGTCCCCCCTTCAGCTGTCAGTGAGATGTGTCCCAGCCACCTCACATATTCACAACTGTCACCCTGACAGGAAATTGCCCGGTGCAGCGTGTCTGCAGTCTTCTCTCCTGGGAGGTAGGTGTGGAAAGTGAACCCCAAGTGCTTTGCAGCCAGGGGTCTCCCAGCCTGTCATTGCTGAAGATGCGAGGCCTCCCATCTCCCTCAAATTCTCGTGGACTCACCTCCTGAATCTCCCTCCCCCCATCCCCCTAGGGTGGGGCTGTATGTTTCACCCCCTCACCCATGCTGTTTGAAGAATCCTCCTTGTGGGTTCGGGACCCTGCATGGCCCCCATACTCCATCCCCCACACTCCTGTTTGGGAATCTGAATGCCCGGTGGGTGGCCCTGGCCCCATTTGGACTGTGCAGATGACATCACCAGGTGCACTGGAGACCCCAGGGTCTGGAGACATCTCACAGCCACACCTCACTAGGGAGGCCACCTGGGTCTCCTGCAGGTGACCCATAGCTCAGCGTGGGGTAGGCACACAGTAGGTGCTCACAGTAGGCAACACATCCTGCTGTTTCTCTCATTCCTTTGAAGACCTTGTATTAGGCTGTCTCCTTGACAACCTCTGTGCTTCCCTCTGTGTCTGTGTTCCTGGAGGTCACAGGAGGCCCTTTAATGGGATGGAGGCATCTCCAGACAAGCAACTGCTGTGGCCTGAGCCACAGGGCGGCCTGGGGCAGGATTGGCGCAGTTCTAGAAAAACAGCCTTTGGGGATACATGCCAAAAAGCACGAAGACAAGGAGGACAGCATGATGACCGTGGGCCTAACGGGCCTTCAGCAGAATCCAAACTCGCTTCCAAGCAGAAGCGGAGCAGAATGCAGAAATACTCATTTTCTGTTTTTATTGTTGGTTGCTTAATGACCTTCTTTTGAAATGCTGCAGTGGTAGAAAGCTGGTTGTCATGGAAACAGGGAGTGTCGTGCAGGGAATAGGTACACAATGCATTTCTTTGTCACGTCCAGCTGATGCTTTCAGCCTCTGCTTAGATGTGTGAATTTATGTGAGGAATTGAATATTAACTGGAGGCATTGCCTTGGAGAGAGACAGAAACACAGGGAGAGGAAAGATGCTGGGGACAGGATAAAGTGCCCACACTTAGGGACCGTACCTGATTGGCACCAGCTCCCGGTGGAAGCAGCTGTGCTGGTGAAATCCATGCCCACCCTAGGGCATGTCCCATGAAAAGCAGCTGCAGCCAGGCTGATGTTGCAGGATGCCAGATGCCTCTGAGCAGTGCCCCAGTGAGGGAGTGATTTTCCTCAAAGAGCTTCCATCTCTTGTTCCTGGAACAACTGTGGGGCTACAACTTTGCACATCTTTCCAGAAAAGGGGACTGGATAAATGCTGTATACAAGATCACCTCAAGTTTCTTATCTCTTCCCTGAAGCTGGCACAGCTGGCATTCATTAGGTGTTCTTTTTTCTGACCCTCAGAAAATGAGTTCCGGTGTGAGCTGCTGAGTCAGAGGTGGACACACGGAGACAAGGCCAGTAACTGTGGGACCTCAAGACTTCTCCTGGGTGGACACGGCAAGGTGAGGTGCTCAGAGGGCCTGGGCAAGGTCTTTATCACTCCTAGGCATGGAGCACAGAGGTGATTTTTGGCTTAGGCATCATCAATCTAGGTTAGGCAAAGGATAATTGGGGGCTAGGGCCCATCACTGATCTGATCACTTTTAAATTAAAGGAAGAAAAATAACTCTGAAAGGAATAAAACTAAGATGTGACAGCAGAGTCTCACCTTTGGCCAAGTTGCTGCTCTGGGGTCTGCCTGCCCTGGGCTCCCTGCTGTTACCTGGACAGGCTGGGAATCCCTGAGAGGCTTTGCTGCAGGGACGTGTGAGGTGTGTTGACCTTGTTTATTTCAGTCTTACCAAGTGGAGGCGGATGGTGCGTGGCCTGCTTATCCCTGCCTAGAAGTCACTGATGAAGGTACCTTAGGCTCCCCACCTGCCCAGGGATGCTCCCCCTAGGGTGTCACGTGCACTTACAGCCATACCAGGTGGGGGTGACAGCTGGCTTGGCGGGCATCCCTTCCCGTCTTCCTGATTCTGACCTGTCATTTCTTGACATGTCTAAACTCTCCATCAAGGACCCAAGCCATGACCCAGGGCCTAGGTTGAGGACAGCAGGAGCTGTGAGGCTTCAGGTGACGACCTCGTTTGAGGGAGCTTGTGCTTTACTCTCAAAGCCCAAGGCTTTACTCTCCATCTAGTGACTAGAATGTGCACGTTAATGGGTCTGTTGTAGTGTCTCAGTTCACACTTTCATTCCTGTAGGGCTATCGGTGCCCTGCCCTGCCGTGGTGGAGCCTGAGTCAAGAGGAAAAGTCAGGAATACCAATCCTGTTTTTATTTAAATATTTGGTATTCTGTTCACCATGGATTTTTTTCTGCATTAATGTTGAGGTTTTTAAAATATTGCATTAAACTATTATGTATCTTGGTCACTGAGTTTTTGTTTCCCCCTTAAATTTGCACCTGGGTGAACGAATGCCTCACATCCTCACCCCACCCTGTCCCTGAGCCTTCAAGCAGAGGTCGTGTGACTGGAAAAATCACTTGATCGAGGCCAGGGCCTCTGGGTGATGCATCTACCATTGCTGGAGGTGTGTAAGGGACCGGAGGGAGGCTGCTGTCTTCCAGGGGCTCAGGCATGACAAGTCCAGAGGCTGGCCCAGTGTGAGTGCCCCCAGCAGCATCAGCCCTTCCATGACTGTCCCATTAGAGAGTCATTTTCCTCCAGTGCGGGCCAGGAGGGCCTGAGTTACTGTTCTGAGCAGAGAAGCCAAAGGGAGAGAGGGCCAGAGAAGGCGGGAAAATTAGGGATGCTCAGCTGTATAGGGGTACCTTCCTGCTGAGGAGGCTGAGAAGGTCAGGTTGCAGAGGGAGTGGTAGCCATGGGAGAGCAGAGCATCACACAGCCACGAGGGAGTGGTCCGGGGCAGGAGGTGGTGAGGTGAGGAGCTTAGGGCCAGCAGGGCAGGGGGAGCAAAGGGATTCTGTGTGGGAGGCACGCGCTGCCTGCCAGGCCTCAGTTCAGCACTCAGCATGTGGACAGCTTAGAGGTGGGTTTGGAAGGGAAGCTTGGGGGCTGTGGGCTTGGGGGAAGTGCTGGGGGTTGTGCCTCTTTTGGTTAACTTAGAAAAGGAGAAGGCATTTGTGTTAGGTCCTTAAATCTCCCCTTGACCTTGAAGAATGAAACATTTGGGTCTTAAATCACATAGTATTCAGTGGAAGACTAGAGATATGCAGTCCAGGAATGTGTTGGTCACATGGACATCCAGCCAGGCCTCCTTCTTGCCACCCCGCATGGGCGTTCATGATGAGGGAGGGAGGTATCACTGGGCGTGGCCTTTCTGGCTTGCCTCACCCTGATGTGGTCAGATTTCTATTCCTGGGTATGTAGAAAATTCCATTTATGTTGGAATTTCAAAGAGATGGACCCAGACACGGCTGCTTTATCAGGGTGTCTATTATATAGCTTTAATTTTTAATTTGGGGGTTGGGGTGAGCCACAATCCCATGCTTAGAGATGTCAGAAGAACCCCTCCCAAGAAATGTGTTAAAGAATGCTCCATGGGGTGTCCTTTCTACAACCCAAGGGGAAGGCTGGTCTATTCAGTTGCCAGTAGGTTGAACAATGGGTAGAATGTCAGGAGAATTTCAGACACGCAGTGGGACACCCCGAAGGGGGGACAGAACTGTCACTGTCCGGATCCAGGGCTGCTGTGATGGCCATTAGGGATTTGCAGGGGTGTGGGCATGTGGTCTGGCCTCAGAGATCAGAGAATAGGAAGTGGGCATGTAACTGCTCGGAAGAAGGGGAAGCTGGGAAGGCTGTGCAGGCAGGCAGCAGTGGACAGACTAGGGATGGAGCTGGGGAGGACTCCGTGGGAGTGCCTGGGGGGAAAGAGGGTATAGGAATATGGTGGGGGCCATGGATGTGCCCCAGCAGTCTCTGTGCACGGGCTACCTAGCAGCGGTGTGCGACCTGGCATTGCCCTGGGTGTGCACAAGTGAGAGGAGTAAGACAAGCCCAGATGGCTGCCCTTCTCCACCCTCTACTGAAGAAAGGGGATACTGGGAAGGTGCTCCTGGAGTCAAGAGGGTGGGTTTTGGCCAGTTCCCTGGCACCTCCTTTCCCCTTCTTTATAGGCAGGGCCACTTGTGGCCTCCTGGGAGTCAGTGGATGCCCCCGCTTCATCCAGGTCTTCTGGGAGGAAAAGTGCATCTGCCCTCCCTCAGGGGCACTGATCCATACCATCTTGTGGCGTTAAAAGATCGTCCTGAGTCCATTCTAATTCTCCAGCTTTCTAGCTGTGGGAATGCATTTTAACAGCTATGAAACACTAAGCCATCCTCAGCCCAGGGCCAGGGGGAACGTCCCCTGTGGTCTCAGGGGGCTTGGAAACCCCACCCGGGTGAGGCTCTGGTCTCGGCTTGACCTCTTCCAACTGCTCCGGGCCACCTTCCCCAGCTCCCGAATCTCAGAGACGTTTCCAGCTGTCCTCATTTGTCTGTCCATCTGTCCTTACGTAATATGTACTGAGCCGTGAATGAGGCCATGGCAATTTGCTCTCTGCAGGAGACAATGACCTTGAAAACATGAATAAACTAGTTTATTTCAGATCAGATGAGGACTGTGAGGGAAACGAGCAGGCACAGGTTGAAGGGTGAGAGAAGGGGTAGGAAAAGGGAGGCACAGGCCTGACCCCTGAGATGTGCCGGCCGCCCCCGCGTGTCGCGCTCTCCAGGTCTCCCCTCCCTAAATGTCCCCAGTCGTCACTGATACATTGAGCTTCTCCACTCCCACGCAGGCTCCCAAGTCTGGGCAGGCAGCCCCCTCCCTGACTGCACTTGAGCTCTCTGCTGACACCCCTCTTTCCCTGGAGTGAGGGACCTGTGACCTTGGGCAGCGAGGCTGGTCTGCTTGGGCCGGGAGGTCCTGCAGGAGCTGGGGAGCGGAATGGGGTCTCGGCTGTTTGGGGTCAGGCTTCAGCAGGTACCCTTCAGCCTTCCGCCATCCATGCCGAAGGAGAAGGCAGAGGGTGGGGAGGAGGGAAGCTTTTAAGCTCTGAAGGCCTGGGCAGAACCGAGAGGAAGAGAGAGTGGCAGAGAGATGCACACTCACGTCGACAGAGAGAGAGAGAGAGAGAGTGGGGATAGGTGGGAGAGCAAGAAAGAGAAGGAGAAGGACCTCCTACAGAGACCCCCATGGACATGGAGACAGGTGGGCGTACTTGGCCTCCGGGGATACAGGCGAAGACCAGCACAGAGCCTGCTGGACATCACCGGGTGCCCTGTGAAGCCTCTAACTGGATAATCTTGAACTCTAAGGAAGAGCCTACCTTCTCTGCTCGCTGTAGGCTGTGTGTCTGGATTCTAAGTGCATTTCTTACAACCACAGCCTAGGAGTCCAGATGAATTTACAGCTTTCAAGGCTCTTTGGTCCTGGAGTTTGTAAGCATCCAACTCAGGGAGCTCAGGGTCGGCAAGGATGCTGGGCGGGCGGGTCTGAAAAGGGGCTGGTCTTTGCGGCGTGTCATTGTGAGGACTGTTTACATTTAAGAAGGGCTTACATGATTGATCTTGACTTTACTAAAAAATACAAAGCAGAACAAAGCACTAACACTCTCTTGAGTGAGAATACCATTGTAGATACTAATAAAGAAAGTAAAATGGAAGGGTGAAGAGACAGTTCTCTCCGGATAATAGATGTGGTGAAATGGGATGTATTTGCCCTTGTAAATTATTCTCCTCCCCACAGTTTTCATGTTGAAGAAAGAACTATTGAAATATTAATTAGAGTGGAGAGACGGTTTACAGAGCACAGGGACACGGTCCTGGTGGCAGAATAAAGTCGTGTTGCAGAAAGAGCGCTGATGGTGTTCTTGAGAAGTCACTGGCCCCAGAATAAGAATGGGGATTGAGGGGTGCTTGGCTGGGACAAAGGGGCCTCTTCAACCTCAAGGTGACAGGCCATTCATTTATTCGTGGGCTGTACAGAAATAGGGACTTGATTGGTTTGTTCTTGGAGCAAGTGAAGGATTTTTAAAAATGAATCAATGGAAAATTGGGAAGTTCTGCTTGTGTTCATGTCAGTGAGTGGCCTGTCTGTGTGTGGCCCTGGGGGGCTTCCGGCAAGCTGAGTAGCATGAGCCTGGGTGGTGCTGGGCTCCCGTGGGCACCAGTGCCCATCTCCAACATGCAGCACAGGTGTCAAGGGCACGAGGACAGCAGAGACCCACCCCCACCCCCACCCCATTGCTTTGAGCTCTCTGAGAAGGGAAACAATGTATATGAGACATGAATCAGGAGTTGCTTTATCACTGCTTCGCTCAGCTGCTCTCCACGCAGCCGCCACTGCTGGTTTCAAACAGCTCAGAAATCGATGTTTCCCTACCTTGTTGTTAATGTCCTGAGTTGTCCTGCTCTTACAAACTGTCTCATATTAAGGAGCTAACCCTGATTTTTCCTCCCATAGTTCAGTTTTTGTTTTTTCCTTTTAAAATCAAAGCTACATGCACTGAAGAGAACTTCTCACTTATTGACCATTTGATGCAGATAAATTGCAAATGGAAAGGTGCTGCCCAAATGAATGCCACAGCTGTTAGCCTCATCAATGGGCGCTCACAGTCTGCACGCAGCGCCCAGTACGCATCCCTGCAACCCTCTCTATTCTCTGCTCTTTGAATAATTTATCTGCAGGAAATCCAAATTGCCAAGGCACGCTTTAACCTAGCAGAATGATTGCCAATTTCCTTGGGAAAACTGACAAAAAAAAAAAAAAAAGAAAGAGCTGTAGATTGCATTTCAGCTGAAAGCAGGCGCCCTGCAATCAGACGCATCGACTCCATTGTGAGGCCCGCGACCGAAGGCGCTGCGCTGCGGCTCCGCGCAGACGACATTTGAAGGCTTATAAATGTGATGAAGTCCCTTTGACACCTGCTCCTCTCTTCACTTTAAATGTGAGCCATTGGTCCATGGGGAACCTCCACTTTAAAAATAGAAATTACAGTAATTGTCTTCTGTGCTAGTGGAAGGCTGTAATACATGCACAGCCCGTTGCACTAGCCCGGCAGCCAGTAGCTGGCCTCTTTCATGAATTACCCCAGATTTTTATTTTTCTTCCTTAACAAATCACATAAATCATTGTATGCAGTACTGTCCATGGGGGTGGTTCACTTTGTAAATTTCATCTTCCTAATTGGGGGAATTTCTTGTTTCTTCCTGGGTGGCACTTCAGACTCCTCTCTCTTAATGGCTTTTAGGGACTAAAACCCCTCACCTGCTGCCCTCCCCCCATCACTGTCACTTCTTCCTCACCGTCTGGCTTTCCCTTTGGTAGCCTTGGCTACAGCTGGGGGCAGGTGGGATTGTTCCCTTCCTTCCTGACTGTGGGGAAAGGCGGTGAGTCCTGGCTTTCCTGGGGTGTATGGGACATGTGGGGCACACCTGCCTGGCAGAGGCCCCTCCCCACCTGGCCACTGTCCCTTGGAGTCATGGAGTGTGTTGGGGTTCCCATCTACCTCATACCTCCTTACAACCTGCCTGCCCAGATTTGTCATGGGTGGCACAGGTCAAGGACTCTGTGTGATGACCTGTGGCCCCTGGGGACACTCCCCAAGCCCTGTCTGTGACCGTAGTCCCCAGGCTTCATCTTCCGCGGGCTCTCCCTCAACTCCATCTCAGGACAATGTGGGCTGTGTCCCCCATGGGACTTGGTTTGGGGCAGGGAATGTAGGCGAGAGGGGGCACTTTTGGGCTCAGGCAGGGGGGCCAGAGGATGTGTGGGGCCAGGGCTGTGCAGGCTCCACTCATCCTCATTGGCGAAGCAACATCTCTGGGAGGGTGGCCTGTGGTCCAGTCCAGATGACCCCTGGGCCTCCATTCCTGCCTTGGCCTGGCTTTCGCCCAAGACTGCTTCCCTCCCCTGCAGCCAGGCCGTCCAGCACAGTGGCTACAGGCACTTGGCATGTGGTTGGTCATACTCAGCTGTGCTGTGAGTCAAGGAGACATGCAGGGTTTTTAAGAGTTAATACAAAACAAAGTCCATTCATAATTTTTTATAATAATTGCTGTTGAATGGTTATGTTTTGGATAGATTGGGTTAATTAAGTAAGGTTTAGTATTAGATTAATTTCACCTTCTTTTTTTTTTACATTTTTAATGTAGCTATTAGAAAATTAAAAATCAAGTGTGTGATCTGTTTCCACTGGGCAGTGGTACGCTGAGGCCCCTGTGCCTCTGGGAGCACGCATGCTTCAGACATCCCCTCTCACCTTAGGGATAGTCAGGCCGCCTCTCCTGGGGACAGCATGTCGTATAAATCGAAGCTGTCCATCTCTGGCTGCTTCAGGTCCTTGCCACCTGCTTCTAACAGGATGTCCCTAGCGTGTTAAGGACACTGGCCTCCATGGGAAGCCAGGCTCTGGGCACAGTGGGGTGCCTGCAGCGGGCAGCCTGCCCTGGTGCCTGGGCACTTGCTGGCCTCAAGAGCAGTGAGTGGAGCTCCTCGGTCTTTCCAGGAGACTGTGTGTTACAAAACCCCAAAGGAACGAAGATCTGGAAGGTGGGGCGGCTTCTTCCTTGGGCATGAACCTGGGGCAGCAGAAGGGCAGGAGCAGGAGATGGGGGACACCCCACGGCTGGTGGCCTCTGCCCCGAAGCACCTCCCCTTGCCTGCTGCTCAGGCAGGCCCTCCCTACCCTGTGAGCCCATTCCTTCCGTCCCAGATTCGCCTTCACCAGCAAAGCTAAGCCAGAAAATGACTGGAGGTCCCTGTGGAGCCCTGGAGGGTGGCTCTGTGCTGCTTTTCCAGTTCACATCGCAGTTGTTTTTGCTTGCAGATGAGTTTAGAAAGTGAGGATAAGCGAGCTCGTACGCGATCCAAGACCCTCCGAGGTGAGTGCTGCCCCGCTGCTGGCCGGGCCCGGCCACTAGCGCAGGTCCTGAAGCTGTAAATGCCTCTTCACTGACAGTTTCCTCATCAGAACAGCCACCGCCAGCAACGCTCAGGCCCTCTGCTGGGCCCCGGGGGTCTAAGGTCTGGTGGCTCAGGCCTCTTTTGCCTCCGGGTGCCTGAGAGGGCTGGGAGGGACCTTTGACCCAGACGAGCTCGCCTGGGTGGCAGGACGCAGGCACAGCTCCTGAGAGTAGGAACACGAATTCAGTGGGGAGTCATTCTGTCTGGGAATGAAAGGCCGCCTGTCTTTGCTCACCAGCCTCTCTGCCTCCCAGGGTATCAGTCGCTGGGTGACCTGGCAGTGGGGTGGGGAGAGGGGGCAGGGCCCTGCTGACCCCTTGGCCAGCCTCGCCCTGTGACGCCACAGGCACAGCCGGGAGGGGAGCTAAGCTCCTCGGGTTGCCACCCAGTCGGACCCCTGAGTGTTTCTGCCCCAGTGGCCCCATGGCCGAGGGCCAGAGGCTTGGCCCGCCCATCCCGTCCAGCTTTATCTGCTGGCTCCTGTTTCCAGCCTGGAGCCAGCCACCTGCTGCCGGGAGATCCCACATTCCAGGAGCTCAGGAGACACGGGGTTCAGCTCTCACTGGGTTGCTGCCACTCTGCTCCGTTTGTGTCATTAGGGTGATGTGCCTTTTCAATTCTGACTCCTACATGTTTCCCTGTTTCTCTCTTTCTCTCACCCAGTGCCCCCAGAGCCCGCAGGTGCTGACCTCAGGTAAGAAAGGCCTCTTGCTAGCGTGGAGCATTGCCCATATCTATGACCCTACGTGTTCTAAATGTCCCACATGGGGCACTTTGGATTCGACCAACAGTGGCCCTGAGCCCCTGCTTTCCCTGACAAGGCCCCTTCTCCTTGCGCTGTGTCCTGCTGTCTTCCCCTCTGCCCTCCCCCACCTCTGTCCTGGCCCCACCACACAGCCAGCCTTGCAACAGGGGCCTAGATGTGCTCGTGTCTGGTCACCACCAGGACCTGACTATCCCCACAGTCCTTGGTCGGCGGCCAGGTGCTGTATTAGCAGGCTTTCACAAACACTTCTGCATCGCACGGTCTGAAGGCCCACTTGTCCAGAGATGAGGAAATAGGCAGTTTTGTGTCCTGATCCTTCTGCTGGTTGAAGACGCAGACATGGCCAAGCTCTGTGGGAGCCCCCGAGGAAGGGAGGGCCGTCCGTGGTAGCAGTTTGCTGGGTTTAAGCAAGAGGGGGCCAGACCCTCCTCCCTGGAGTCCGACTTGGCCTTGTCAGCTGACTCCCATCCTGGTGTTGGCCAAAGCCTTCGGTGGGGAAGAAGGTCCCGAGAGAAACCCTGTGTGTCAGGGCTGTCCTGGCGCCACCCCACACAGCCTTCGGGCCGCGGACTCTGTGGGCCTGGGCTCCTCCTGGGGTCTCTGGGGCCAGCCCTTGGTGCCCTCTTGCTCAGACAGAGCCCCAGTGAATGTTGTCCAGGCTCCAGTTTCCCCCTTTTCTTTCAGGAGGGGTAGTGCTGGTGAAGTCTCAGAACAGGAAATGTGCCAAGAGAGAAGGGAGGTGGTGCTTGTTGAGGGTCGCCAGTGTGCCAGGTGGGCACCAGGTGCCCCATTCAATTTTCACAAGCTCCTTGTGAGATGGGGCCATGCTTGAGCTGCAGCCCAGATAACCTGCCCAAGGCTCATTCATCCCTGGTGGGGTGAGGGGCTCTGAGTCCTCCTGCTTTCCCCCATAGCAGCTCTGGTGCTGAGTACACCACGGTGCCCCAGGACCCACGCCCGAGATGGCTGATCTCTGGCCTGCATCAGGAATAGACTGTGCCCATGCCGAGGGGTCAAGCGGTGACAACCGCCTCTTGGTGGAAGTTTCTCTGAGCTTCCCGGCACCTGGATGGGGACAAACAGAACATTTTTGTCACCGAGGGTCAATGCCGTTCTTTCCCTGCCTGCTCTACCCCTAGCCCAGGGTAGCTCTCTGCACAAGACTGCACAGTTCCAGGGCAGAGGCTGCTTCCTAATTCTTAGGGGTTAGGATTTCCATTAAACTGTGAACAAATCTGAGGCTAGGACCATATGATTCCTTACCAGATATCTTTTGTATGGATAATCAGAAAAACGAGAGGACCCCAAGTGTCCCTGGCCCCCTCCAGCCCCTGAGGCTGGATGAGGAAGGGGCAGGGGTGCAGGCGGTAGGCTGCCTGCTCAAGCCCCAGGCCTGGGTCAGGCTCAGCAATGGCTGCACAGCACAGTCTTGATGCCAGGCATTCTCATGGAAGCACTGCCTGGTGGTGTTAGCACCCCATTAAACCCAGGCTCAAAGGGTTGAAGTTTTCCCAGCCAGGAGAGCTGGACCACATGCTCTCCTGCCCAAAGCACAGTTCTGGTCACAGAGCAGGAGAGGGGAGAGTGGATGGCAGCCAAACCAGGCCCCTGGAGGTGCAGAGCGTCCTCTCTCCCTGGAGGGGAGGTGTCCTCTGCTGGGCTGTGCCACTGGAGAAAGTGCTACATGGTGCTCAGAGGGTCCAGAGCGCTGGGTGGAGAAAAGGCTTCCAGGAGGAGGTGCCACTTCCCCCAGGCTGTGTGACATTCACCTGGGGACATCTTGGGGACAATGAAGGGGAGGAGGCTGGACAGAGGACTCCAGGAAGCTTTGGGTTTTGGTTACAGCAATTGATTTTGGCAACAGATAAAGTTATGGAGCGAATTGGAAAGGCAGACCAAAGAGCTAGTCTCCTTTAGTCCACCAGAGGCGGTCTCTGGTGACTTTGAAGAGTCAGAAGCAAAAATAACTCTCAAAATAGATTTTTTTGGAAATCGTCTGAGAGAGGACGCAGCTAGAGCAAGCAAGAGGATTACGTGAGGGCCTGGAGTTTGTCTGCCTCCATGAATATTGTGGTCTCAACCTATTTACTTGGTAATAGGGAGACCCTTACATTTTTTTTATGGAGAAACTAGGGATAAATGCATTGTTATTTAATGTTATAGCAACGGTGTCTTCAGCACTTCTTCAAGCTTTTGGGAGCGGAGTAAAATAGAATAGTTTGTGCCAAGGGGCAAGACATAGTCCTTCCTTCCTGTGCTCAGAACCACCTGCTGGCCGCGAGCTGTGCGTGGGGATATGGTCTGTGTGTGCGTGGTGGCTCTCGCAGCCTCATTTACCTATAGGAACGGGCAGGTTCTGCAGGCCGGGGCTGCTTCCTCCTTCCCCAGCGCAGCACAGCTGTGGTCAGACAGGCAGAGAAGACGGCCCTGGCGCGGCTTACACAGTGGGTGCCAGCATGGGGAGGGAGCTCATGGCTGTGACCTGGGAGAGGAACGTGATGATACCAGAGAAACTCACACGGAAGTTGCCCAGTTATGGTAGCTCTGCGTGCTGGACTCCTTCGGTGGACAAGAGACACCCCTTTGTGCCAGAATTCCGCGGCCTGCCTCCTGCCTCAGCCTGCCCCTTCCCTGGCTCAAGCAGAGCTCACAGGAAGACGCTCATTCTCTGGGTGGTGGCATGTGGTTGCTATGAGGTGAGCTGGGGAGAGGATCAGCCTGGGCTGAGCAGGACTCAGCTGTCTGTCCCAGCTCTGGGTGCCACTTCCAGCTTGACTGTGCCCTGACTTTAACTCCGAGGGCCCAAGGGGACACAAGCAGATCTGCTGGTCTGCCTCACACTGTGAAGGGCGGGCGACATGTCCATGCCTATTTCAGTCAGGGCCCATGTGCTTCACATGACCTCAGGGCTGCCCTGCTGGAGGCAGTGGTCAGGCTGGGGACATGGGGGCCCTGCCTTATTGGCAATTGGAGTGGCTGGATCCCTTTTGGAGCATTTTTGGGGCATCTCCGAGTTCTGGGAGAGACGCCTGTCTGTAACACCCATGTCCTGGATGCCTGCCTGGCTGCCCATCCTCACCTGAGTACCTCCCCTTTGAGCTACTGGCCAGCTCCTGCCCAGGGGTCATCTACCTGCCTCCAGGGGCCTTTTGGGGGTGGTCGTATGGGGCCCCACCTGGGATTTGGTTCCTCCCAGCCTTGCCTCAGCTTCCCTGACACCAGTGATTATGTTTAGGTCCCTCAGAGTGGCCACCTGGACCTGCTCCTCCCTGCTGACTGAGAATAGGGCCCCCGCAGGCCCCCTGCCTGCCCGTCTGTCTGCCCCGCACAGAGAGCCACCTGGGGCATTCAGTACTTGGCCGGGTCAGCTCTTGCTCCAGGCTGAGGGTGGCTCCAGAGGCCTGGATGCATCGCTGCTTCCTCACCCTTCCTCAGCCCTGAGCACGGGGAGGGCATCAGTGAACACAGCCTGTGGGCGCTCCCAGGGGCCACATGAGGCACAGGCCCTTGGGGCTCTGACGGGGTCTCCCTTGGCCGCTGCACGGGGATCAGGGCCCAAGGGGTCTCCAGCCGCCTCTCACAGAGGGGCCTCACTAGCGCTGCATGTGTGGGGCCCCAGCTGTCTGCGCTCTCTGAGGCTGGGGCTGGAGCTGCGGCCCTCCAAGCTGGAGACCAGGGACCTCCGGAACCGGTGGTTGGGGGTGTGGCATCGAGCAGGTGACATGTTTGGGGGCAGTGCTCATGCCCCACAGGCCTACAAGGCAGCTGTCACCTAATTGCCTGATTAACTCAGTGATTAATCGACTAATTAGGACCTCAGCTTCACATCCCCAATAACAAGGAGCTTTTGTGAAAAGCCTCAAAGCTCTAAAGGGAGTGAAAACAAGGCACAGCGTCTGGAACAGACAGGGTGGGGCAGCCCTGGCTCTGCCTTCTGGGGAGGAAATCCGCAATAAAATGTGGTCTGTCGACCCCACCCCCATCCTGTTTCTCCCCTCCACCCTCTAACCTTTCCTTTCTTCTTTTTAAACACAATGAAAACCCCCACCGAGATCAGCCGTACTGGCCCACACCCTGGAGGGCTGAGGGACCCGTCCCTCAAAGGCTGCTGGTAGACCCAGGCAGACCCTGGCTGGGCAGTGAGGGTGGCCCTCAGGACAGCTGGGCCCCATGGCCATCTGTGGTCAGCCCATGACCAGTCACGTCAGAAGCCCTGGGGTTTGGACAGAGATCCAGGGCTTGGACACCAAGAGCCTACAGGTATCGATGGTCCTGTACGGCTCCCTTTCCAGGCTCTGGGGCAGCCTGATTCGAGGTGGGGAGCTCAGACCCCAGACGCTGACCCTGTAAAGAGCAAGGTCTTCCCATTTTGGTCAGGGCCCCTTGGGGCAGCCCCACCCAGAAGGACCTGGGGTCACGGTCCTGCGGGCAACCTCCACGGGTTCTCTATCACACTGGGCAAGTTTACTGCTCCATGAAATGGGGTGACTGCAGCATCTTGGAGTCCTTGGTCTGTAGATGTGTCCAGTGGACCCTGGGCTGACACTACACACAGGCCCCCCTGCTGCCCTGGCAGCTGATTCCTGGGGAAGTGGGTTGGGGGCATGATCTGTGCCCATGATCAGAAGTTTCTGGAGCTTCCTAAGGTTTGGTGCTGCGAGAGGCAGGTGATGGTGGAGGGTGAGGGACTCCTGGGAGCTGTACCTCTGTCTTGGTATGCTTGGTATGCTTGCCGCCATGGGTGGGAGCTGCAAGAGCCCCACAGAAGTCTCATGGGCAGCTCTTGGCTCATTGGCCCTCCTGGCTTCGTCTCCCTGCAGGGATAGCTGGCACCCTCACCAGGATTAAGGTTCTGGAGTTTGGTCTTCACTGCCACATGTGCTCACCCCCAACTGGAGCCTCTGGCTCGGGCCAGGCCTGCATGTTCTCACAGCATCATTCCTTCCTGGTAGTGCTGGCTCAGTGTGCTGGGCAAAAAGCAGACCTGGCAGGGGCTGCAGAGACCACCAACATCAATGGCACAGCCTTGCAGTGTCAGTGACAGCCGTGGGGAATCCCAGTGTCTGTTCTCTGCCTTTGGCCGGGCTCAGGCGCTGGCTCCGGGGCCACCTTAGAGGGTGCGGAAGCCTGGTGGCAGTTTGCCTGCAGTGGGAAAAACTTACCTGCAGAAAAAGAAGCCTGATTAAGAAGTCTTGATCTTATACATACAGACTTTTAATTAAACGCACTCATAAAATTGTAATTAGCCATTCATTTATTTAAATGGGTTGAGTTATTTCATTCATTTTTAGCTCAGTGCAGGAAGGCATTCTGGGAGGAACTGTTTGGTGCCAGTCTTCTCCCCATGGCAAGGTCTGGGTGGGCCCCGAGACTCATGCGGGGCCCGGCCCCGAGTGACCACTCCACTTGTCCCCCACAGCTGCCCCACCCCAGGATGCACTGGCTCGGGACACATCCGGGGCAAGTACTCCAGGCACCGGAGGTAAGGAGGCCTGTGGGCCCTCTCCAAGGCTCCTGGGAAACAGGATGGGCTGCTGGGGTGTCAGAGCCCCTCTCCGGCCCTGGGCCCCTTCGTGGATCTAGAATCTTCCGTCTCTGCCCTCGGCTGCTGAGCCGCCCATCGGACCCTGGGACCATGACGCCTTCGCTGCTGCGGCCTATGTGCCACGGCATGCAGTGCCCAGGTCTCCCTGCTGGGGCTGCCCCGAATCTGGATAGTCGGGTGGCGTTGCTCAGGGCACACCTGACAGTGTTGGGATCTGAGCTTTCCACCCGGTGTCACTGTTGTCATTGCACAGCCTGACCTCAGATGCCCCTGCTGCTGAGCCGTGCTGAGGGTGTAAGAGGGTGTAAGAGGGCGTGACAGGTCTGGAGGTGAGGGAAGGGCCGGGCACTCCCGATGACCTGCTTGGTCTGAAGGAGGGCGTGGAGCAGAGCAGCCTGGGGGTGGTGAGAGGGCCACTCTGCAGTGCAAGGGCCTGTCGAGGTTTTAAGTCTTCTAAGAGAAGCAGGAAATGCAATTTAAGTGCAATCAGGAGTTTTTTAGTGTGGACAATTAATGTAAAATTTTAAGCACATGAGCCTGCCAGTCATGAATTTGGGGCTTCTAGCTGAGAGATGGTGATGAGCTGCAAAGAGGAACTTCCAAGACAGGCGAAGCAGAGGGTGAAGGGCGGGAGGGAGGACCCCGGGGAGGTGTAGACAGGGTGGCCCTGCTGGGGTCTGCTTCCTCCCAGCTCGCAGAGCTGCCCTCTGGCCAAGAAGAGGAAGCTGGAGGGTGTCGAGGCCGAGCACCTGGTGTCCAAGCGGAAGTCACACCCCCTGAAGCTGGCTCTGGACGAGGGCTGTGGTGTGGACAGCGATGGCAGCGAGGATGCCGAGGTGAAGGACGCCTCTGTTTCGGGTGAATCGGAAGGAACTGTGGAGGAGGCCGAGGCCGAGATGTCAGGACAGGAGGAGATTCATCGCCCTGGGCCAGCTGAAGGTGCTTTGTTGCTCTTTCTCCCCTGAATAAAGGGCGCTTAGTGTGGCCCTGGAGAATCGCAGCCTGTGAGCGGTGAGCGAGCGAAAGCCCTTCCGAGAACAAACCACGTCTTGTCCCGGCGTGTGCTGGGGCTTCCTGGACGGTGGCCAAGCAGGAGCTGGGGGCCGTGGTGCGTCTGTGTTCGAGCACTGGGTGTATGATTGTGGCTGTGTGTCTGCGTGCATGTGAGAGATGGACATGGACTATGTGTCTGTGCTGGGGGCTCAGATAGGCCCATCCGACCTGGCTCTTGGGGAGGGCTGCCTGGGGCCTGGGGCAAGGGGTCTGCTTGGCATCAGGCAATGGAGGGATCTCCCTGCTTGCACCTTCTTTCCTTTGCGGCCCACCAGGACTGGCGGGATCTGGGCACTAAGCCCTTGGCAAATGCTGGTGTAAAGGTGGCTCCAGGCCCTGAGGGAAGCACCTGTTCCCTGGGAGCCCCTAGCAGACTGTAGAGTCCTGGGAGTAGGACTGTGCCTGAGGGCCAAACCCCTCAGCTTCCCATGTCTTCTGACCTTGCAGGGTATGAGATGGACTTTTACTTTATTTTGGAGCCAGTCCAGCGTGGGTCCTCACGCGCCCCCCTGCTCCTGGGGCTCTGGCTGCACCTGGAGTGCTTCCTGGTCTCTGGGAGTCCTTGTGCAGGATCCCACAGAGCCTGGGTGTGGTGAGAGCTCACTACATCATAGTCCTGGCAGCTAAAAGATTTAAATTTGGGTCCTTTAAATATATAAATTCATTTACTGCTTTTCAATTGTGGAACAATTTCTAAAAATCAGATGTATTCTTTAAGATCCTTTTTATGAAATGCAGGTTTGCCTGATTTGAGAAAGTACACATAACAGGGAGTACTGGTACTCAAAAGTATCAGAGTCACTCTTCAAAAATACAGTACTGGTTACTCTGTCTTCCTCCTATGAAAAGTTCACAGCAATCTCCAGATCCAGGCAGGGGGCTGGCAGAAAGACCCACCCCACCTTCTCTTTTCCTGGGGTTCCATTTCCCCAGGCTGTGGGTGGGGGCGAAGGGGACCAGAGGCCTCCTGTGCTTCCCCACATGCCCCACCCACATGGCGTCTCCGACCCCATGCAGGAAGGAGCCCCGGCAAGTCGCATTTCAGATCCAGCCCCATCGGCGGCTCCACGGGCTCCTCCAAGGGCGGCTACAGCAGCTATCAGGAAATCATTGCAACTTCTCTCCTGAACTTGGGCCAAATCACGGAAGACACCCTGGTTGGGGAGGACTTGGGCCAGGTGGCCAAGCCAGGCCCCAGTGTCGTGCGCCTGGTTCAGGAGGAGGCTGAGGAAGGGGCCACCAGCGATGAGGGGGGAAAGGGCATCTTTCTCCAGCCAGAGGATGCAGAGGAAGTCATCGAGGTCACCGGTGAGCACTCGCAGGAGCCGTGTCCTCAGTCCCTGGAGGGTGTGGCCAGCGAGGAGTCCAGAGAGCAGAAGGTTGCCCTGGGTAATGAGGAGGAAGAGGACGAGGACGAGGACGAGGACGAGGAGGAGGACGAGGACGAGGACGAGGAGGACGAGGAAGAGGCTGCTCCCAGTGTGATCTGCCCGGAGGATGCCCCTGCCACCCCCTCCAGGAAGGCCCCCGAGCCTCGGCACCCTGCACCTCTCAGCCCCAAGCCCGAGCACCCCGTCCTTGTGGAGGTACACCCTGACGATGGTAAGGACGAGGACTCGCGCTCCCAGAAGTCTGAGGTCACGGATGAGTCGGAGATGTACGACATGATGACCCGAGGGAATCTGGGTCTCCTGGAGCAGGCCATTGCCCTGAAGGCTGAGCAGGTGCAAGCCGTCCGTGAGCCGGGTTGCCCACCCTCTGAGCAGGGGCAGCTGGGCCCCAGTGAGCCAGGGAAGGCGGCAAGGTCCCTGGATGCCACACGGAAAAACTACTGCAGCAAAGGTAGGGCTGTGTGTCCCGGCTCTGCACAGCCACCCTCCCTCCCTTCATCCAGGGATGTGCAGGCCTGCCCCCACCTGGGGATGCAGACCGAGTGAGAGATGGCCAGAGCCCCTTACAGGCTGGGGTGGGGGTGGGGGGCAGACGCAGACAGGGACAGATACGTTCATGGCTACAGACTTTGGTCACTGATACTGAGGAGACGGGGTCATACCGCTCATAATAGGGCGATCTTTAGAGAGACACAGAGCATGGGCACCAGGTGGGAGGCGGAGAGTGAGAGAGGGGTGGTGAGCCAGGCGCAGCAGCTCAGCCACAGCCTGGGGGGCGGGGACACACCTGGGTCATGGAAGGACACAGGCAGACCCTGGGGGGCATGCTTGAGCCACGGAGAGACTTGGGTGAGCTGTAGCTCAGGGGGCTGCCTTGCTGGCAGGTGGGTGGGAACACAGGACACAGATTTTCTGGGAACACTCATTCATATGAGACAGGCTTGGAGCAGACGACGAGGAAAACAGATGGGGACATAATTTCAATCCAGAGGACAGCTATTGAGAGAATACCTTTTCAGGGTGGCACAGACCTGGGGGAAAGCTATTTGGGGGCTCAGATTCAGGCCAGCACAGGCTCAAGCACAGGCCTTGAGGGGACATGGTAAAGGAGACCTGGTGAAGGGGACACCAATTTGGGGCCAGATGTTGGGGTGTCAGTCTTGGGGGATGGACTTGGGGCCCACAGATCAGAGCAGACATTGCTGTAACACTTGGGGAATGGCATGACTGGAGCATCTTGGGGGAGCACAGAATTTCTGACAGCCCCAGGCCCAGGTGTTTGGGGGACCTAGACCCATGGGATAGACATTGGAGAATGGGATTCAGGGTTTCGTACCTTCAGGGATAGAGTTGAGGGCATGGACCCAGGGGACAGAGCCTCAGGGCGAGGGAGGTGGCCGAGCTGGGAGCACTGGGCAGAACTGGGACGACCATATGTCTTGGGAGAGCTGGTGGGACTGTTTCAGGGGACTGACACTGAGACAGACACGGTGCAAGCCCTGGTCAGTGGCCAGGTAGGAAGCAGGTTTGGGGAGGGGTTTATGATCCCCTCAGGATGACCCTGCCCTCCTGGGGCTGGTCAAAGTCCAACTTCCTGCCCTTTGAACTCCAGAGGCAGAGCTCTTCAGAGCCGTCTGGGCTTCTGTGTTCCCCCAAAAGGGACGGCTCCCAAGCAGTTTCTCTGGGACGTTAGCTGTGCTCTGGAGATCTCCCACATCCTGAAAGGCGTTTCCTTCCGGCCCCTGCACTCAATAGTGACCTCTCTGGGCCTGCAGAGGCTAGATGAGGTCAGTAACTGAAATATGGTTTTAAATTTCTGCCCAGGCATTTATTAGTCTTGTGAATTTAGGTAAGTCACTTAACAATTTTATGCTCTTCATTTTGTCAGATACGAAGGACATGTCCTGAGAAGGTCCTTGTCACATACTCTCACCTCTCTATGCAGAGGCCAGACCTTGAGGTGTGGAGGTGCTTGGAGGCATAGTCCCCACACGGAAGCCAGCCAGCCTGCCTCACATAATGTCAGCAGCAGACAGAAAAGAGGGTGCTAGCTACCATCTAGGCTGTTCTCTTTGAGATCCTGCCATCCAGGGCAGTTTGGGTAGTCTGGGCTTTTCCACACACACAGCTGGTGTGGCCTAGTTTCCCCAGGGTCACCTCACGGTCCAGCTCCTGGTCCCACTTGGGCTCTGGGGCAGTCTGGCCATTCTCCTCTCAGGACAGCCATAGTGAAGTGCTGGGAGCTGTCCCGGCCCCTCCCTGCTTGCCACCCACCACCCAGCTTCCTGACTGTTCTCCAGCTGATGCGTCTTGTGTGATTAGATCCCTCGAGGGCCGAGAAGCGGGAGATCAAGTGTCCGACACCAGGCTGTGATGGCACTGGCCACGTTACCGGGTTGTACCCTCACCACCGAAGCCTGTCTGGCTGCCCCCACAAGGACAGGATTCCCCCAGAGAGTGAGTAGCTCTGTACAGTTCAGGCCATCTCTGGTGTTTGGATGGTGTCCACACGGAGAGGGAGCTGCCCAGGGGCCCTGCCCTTTGGTTGACACTGGGCTCTTCAAGGCTGGCGACACAGATCGTGCCCAGTTACCCACTTTGAGTTGGCAGCTGGGATCAGGGCCTCTGGAAGACTGCCACAGACACAAGCAGGTGGGAGGAGAGACAGTCAGCAAGCTGGGGAGGGGCCTGCCTCTGGCTCTGAAGGCTCAGGAGGAGAAAGCCTGCCCTTAGTTCTAGGCTGGAGGCAGTAACTGAACATCAGAGGAGAGGAACACGCAACGGCCAGGAGTTGTAAAGCTGAGATGTTACCTGCTCCGGGGAGGCAGAGGGGCCGCAGCGGGTGGGACATGACTTGACTGGGCTGAGGCTGGGGGGCTGGAGTGCCCTGGGCCACCGCTCCCAGCTGCAGTCCTCCAGTGGGCCCCTACCTCCTCCCGGCTGTGCTCACGGCCTCCCTCCCTGGTCTCTTGCAGTCCTGGCCATGCATGAGAGTGTGCTGAAGTGCCCAACTCCTGGGTGTACAGGCCAGGGCCATGTGAACAGCAACCGCAACACTCACAGAAGGTACTTAGGCTGTGCTTCGTGGTTGGGGTCGTGGTGGGACCGGGGTTGGGCCTGCCGTGGCCCCTGTGTGATGACCCTCAGGACAGATGCAAGGTCAGGGCACACCTTTTGGGGGGGTCACCCAATGATGTTGTCTCCTGTGACCCTAGGAGTCGGGGTCCCAAGGACCAGCGGGCAGCTGGAAACCCATGGGCATGTGCCAGTGCAGAGGCCACCTGCCTGTGGAGAGCCAGGCGGAGCTGCCCTGCCACCTTCGGGAAGGTGCTTGCTCATGGTGGAGCCTCAGCTGTGGGCTGCTCCGCAGGAGTGCTGAGGCCCCAGTGCAAGCGAGGCTCCCGGGACACACTTGGGGCTTAGTGGCCTGCCATCACCCACAGTGGGAGGTGACCGTGTCCCCCACCCTTTCCAGGAGCACCAGGGTCCGTGAAGGGACCACCTTTGCTCCAGTGGGCACACAGTCAGCTGAAAGGCTAGGCTGAGCCCTGTTGGGATCGCATCGCCCCTCCAGCCTGCTCACAGTCAGCACCACTCTATGTGCCTGTGATGTCTCAGATTGGGTGCTTCCTCAGAGGGGCCTCTGCCCCCCTGGCGGGACCCTGCTAGTCCATGACCTCTAGGGTCAGCCCCCTGGTTGTGGCCATGGGGCTCTGGGCTTCCCCCAGTCAGCTGACGGAACGTGAGCCACAGATGGGTCCAGGACACAGCTCTGACTGGGGGCGAGAGGGGAGGAAGGGGTAAGAGCGGCTCCACAGCCCAGACCCAGTCACGGGAGGCACCTTGTCCAGACCTTTGAAGGCCTTTTGGGTGCATTTTGTCTTTGTGTATCGTTGGCTTAGAAGGTCCCCAAACAGAAGCTGGTGGAGAGCTTGTGCTTGGAGGGCTCGAGGACAAACTCGAGAGAAGGCCCTGCTCCCAAGAACAGCAGCTGTCCCTGGGCTCATGCTGGTGTCTGCAGAGCTCCTGGCTCAGACAGGCGGGCCTGCAGGGGAGAACTCAGCTCATCCCTTGTCCTTCTCTAGTTTGTCCGGGTGTCCCATCGCTGCTGCTGAAAAATTAGCCAAATCTCATGAAAAGCAACAGACACAGACGGGAGATCCTTCCAAGAATAGTTCCAGTTCAGATCGAATCCTCAGGTGAGTGAAGTGAGCCACAGAACTGAAGGGCCTCCTCCCAAAATGCCGGCAGGGGCTTCTCGGTCTCTGCAGGGCTGCACACGCATGTGTGCATGTGTGTACGTGTGCTGATATGTCAAGATTGTCCCAGGCTTTGTTTGTGGGGAGGCTGGTCCTGTGTGGGCACAGCAGCTGAGGGCCACTCAGGGGGCACTGGGAGCTGCTCATCCCTGGCAGTCCTGCCTCCACCTCCCTCACCCCAGGATGGATTCTATACCAAGAGAGGGACGCAGGTGGTGCCCCCAGGGTGTTGCCCCTTCGGGGTCCCCAAAGTGCCAAGACAGCAGAGAGCAGGCGTATATGTGTACTTTGCATGCATGTGAGTATGTGTGCAGATGTGAATAGGTGTGTGCATCTTGATGTGCCTCATCAATAAGGGAGTCTTCTGAAAGAGCATTCAGATGCCTTTGCTTAGTGTCCCATCTGTCCATGTGATCCTGGGAAGTGGGAGGCTCAGGCATCATATGCTGGGTGCCACACACACGGGGCAGAAGTTGGCCCGGCCTCTGGCCAGCCTGGCTGCTGAGTCTCCTTCCAACCACAGCTCTTCACTGGTGGGCCGGTCCCTGCAGCTCGGTCCTGTGCAATTTTTACCCACTTGCTGTCCCTATTTGTCTAAGGAACTGGGACACACACAGGTCTTCCCCTCCTCTGGCCTCCTGACCCGTTTCACGTCTGCCTCCCAGGAGAGTGTAGGCGTGGTCTGAGTCATGACTGTGGCTGCGGCACAGACCCAGGGCTGGAGAGCGGGCATGCCTCCTCTGCTGCCTCCTCCAGGGCGCACCGAAGTGCTGCCCCTCCCCTGGCAGTGTCAGCTGGAGGAACTTGGCCACCCACCGTGGCCTGCTCTGAGGACTCCGTGTGAGGGCAGGGAGCAGCCTTGCCCGCCGTGTTGGGGCCCACTGGCCAGTCCTCGGGGCATCTTCAGCCCTGTGCATGCAGTCGGGTATCTCCACCAGCTCTTCTCATGGGGATTGGAAACAGCTTCTTTCCTCCATCATCTTGACATTCCTTCCATCTTCCTGTCAGTTACAGGATCGTTTTCAATCATTATTTCAATCATTTCCCTGCCGATCTAAGTCACTGTTAAAATGTTAACCCACCAAGCAGGTGAGGCCCTGTGAGGCCAGGGTAGGGGCCTAACACGCTCCGAACGTGGAGGCTGCACCCCCAGAAACTTAGACCTCGGTTTGTTTGTAAACATAGAACGGTGTTATCTCACTGACTCAGAAGTTTCTCAGGAGGCTTAAAGGAGGCAATGACATTCTGCCGCCTGGGGCCCTTGGGGAGGAACCGGAGATTGTAGCCCTCACGGCCAGGATGCAGGAGCCTGCTGTCCAGGCTCTGTCCATTCTCTGTGGCCACATGTCTGGGGTTTCTGGGTGATGTACTCCTGGGTGCAGGGAGTCTTTGCAAAGCTTTGCTGGCATCATGGATAGTAGGTCTGTGCTGATGGCATGGCTGGAGTCCTGGCTGAGGAAGCCACTGAAATGTGGGACTAATGCCAAGTTTAGGATCCATTTTCCCCCTGGGGGTGCCTGAACAGTCTTCCTCGACTTGTCCAGATGCCTCTGGGCCAGGCCGGCTGTGCCCCCCCACTCTTCTTGGGGAGGAGAATGAGCCCATGCTCTCTGGTGGTGTCTGATTTTTTAAGGCCCCTCAGAGCTGGCCTTGTCATGATTTCAGGGTCTTTCTGCCACCAGGCTCCTGTTTTTGGGCCACACTCAAGTTCTTCTAGTGTCTAGCACCTTGGAGGCCTTTACCATCAGCCTGTTCCTAATTCCGTCCTTCTACCCTTTCTAGACTGAAGCCAGTGCTTGGCTCACAGACAGGAGCAAGGAGAGCCAGGTGGTGGCGGGGGCTTTCCTGGGCCTCCTCCCCCCTTCGTTCTCTCTGGGCTGACTGGTGCAGAGCCCCCTGCACACCCTGTGTGGTCGCCATTCTCTACCCTGCCTGGTCTTCCTGCCCTGGCTCCTGTGCTTTCGGGGCTGGTGTCTTCACACCATCTCTTGTGCATTTAAAAATCTGAACTCTCCCAAGAGATCCGGTGCCATGAACTGAATGCTTGCCATGGCCCTTTCACGTTGCGAGGCTCCCGGGACACACTTGGGGCTTAGTGGCCTGCCATCACCCACAGTGGGAGGTGACCGTGTCCCCCACCCTTTCCAGGAGCACCAGGGTCCGTGAAGGGACCACCTTTGCTCCAGTGGGCACACAGTCAGCTGAAAGGCTAGGCTGAGCCCTGTTGGGATCGCATCGCCCCTCCAGCCTGCTCACAGTCAGCACCACTCTATGTGCCTGTGATGTCTCAGATTGGGTGCTTCCTCAGAGGGGCCTCTGCCCCCCTGGCGGGACCCTGCTAGTCCATGACCTCTAGGGTCAGCCCCCTGGTTGTGGCCATGGGGCTCTGGGCTTCCCCCAGTCAGCTGACGGAACGTGAGCCACAGATGGGTCCAGGACACAGCTCTGACTGGGGGCGAGAGGGGAGGAAGGGGTAAGAGCGGCTCCACAGCCCAGACCCAGTCACGGGAGGCACCTTGTCCAGACCTTTGAAGGCCTTTTGGGTGCATTTTGTCTTTGTGTATCGTTGGCTTAGAAGGTCCCCAAACAGAAGCTGGTGGAGAGCTTGTGCTTGGAGGGCTCGGGGACAAACTCGAGAGAAGGCCCTGCTCCCAAGAACAGCAGCTGTCCCTGGGCTCGTGCTGGTGTCTGCAGAGCTCCTGGCTCAGACAGGCGGGCCTGCAGGGGAGAACTCAGCTCATCCCTTGTCCTTCTCTAGTTTGTCCGGGTGTCCCATCGCTGCTGCTGAAAAATTAGCCAAATCTCATGAAAAGCAACAGACACAGACGGGAGATCCTTCCAAGAATAGTTCCAGTTCAGATCGAATCCTCAGGTGAGTGAAGTGAGCCACAGAACTGAAGGGCCTCCTCCCAAAATGCCGGCAGGGGCTTCTCGGTCTCTGCAGGGCTGCACACGCATGTGTGCATGTGTGTACGTGTGCTGATATGTCGAGATTGTCCCAGGCTTTGTTTGTGGGGAGGCTGGTCCTGTGTGGGCACAGCAGCTGAGGGCCACTCAGGGGGCACTGGGAGCTGCTCATCCCTGGCAGTCCTGCCTCCACCTCCCTCACCCCAGGATGGATTCTATACCAAGAGAGGGACGCAGGTGGTGCCCCCAGGGTGTTGCCCCTTCGGGGTCCCCAAAGTGCCAAGACAGCAGAGAGCAGGCGTATATGTGTACTTTGCATGCATGTGAGTATGTGTGCAGATGTGAATAGGTGTGTGCATCTTGATGTGCCTCATCAATAAGGGAGTCTTCTGAAAGAGCATTCAGATGCCTTTGCTTAGTGTCCCATCTGTCCATGTGATCCTGGGAAGTGGGAGGCTCAGGCATCATATGCTGGGTGCCACACACACGGGGCAGAAGTTGGCCCGGCCTCTGGCCAGCCTGGCTGCTGAGTCTCCTTCCAACCACAGCTCTTCACTGGTGGGCCGGTCCCTGCAGCTCGGTCCTGTGCAATTTTTACCCACTTGCTGTCCCTATTTGTCTAAGGAACTGGGACACACACAGGTCTTCCCCTCCTCTGGCCTCCTGACCCGTTTCACGTCTGCCTCCCAGGAGAGTGTAGGCGTGGTCTGAGTCATGACTGTGGCTGCGGCACAGACCCAGGGCTGGAGAGCGGGCATGCCTCCTCTGCTGCCTCCTCCAGGGCGCACCGAAGTGCTGCCCCTCCCCTGGCAGTGTCAGCTGGAGGAACTTGGCCACCCACCGTGGCCTGCTCTGAGGACTCCGTGTGAGGGCAGGGAGCAGCCTTGCCCGCCGTGTTGGGGCCCACTGGCCAGTCCTCGGGGCATCTTCAGCCCTGTGCATGCAGTCGGGTATCTCCACCAGCTCTTATCATGGGGATTGGAAACAGCTTCTTTCCTCCATCATCTTGACATTCCTTCCATCTTCCTGTCAGTTACAGGATCGTTTTCAATCATTATTTCAATCATTTCCCTGCCGATCTAAGTCACTGTTAAAATGTTAACCCACCAAGCAGGTGAGGCCCTGTGAGGCCAGGGTAGGGGCCTAACACGCTCCGAACGTGGAGGCTGCACCCCCAGAAACTTAGACCTCGGTTTGTTTGTAAACATAGAACGGTGTTATCTCACTGACTCAGAAGTTTCTCAGGAGGCTTAAAGGAGGCAATGACATTCTGCCGCCTGGGGCCCTTGGGGAGGAACCGGAGATTGTAGCCCTCACGGCCAGGATGCAGGAGCCTGCTGTCCAGGCTCTGTCCATTCTCTGTGGCCACATGTCTGGGGTTTCTGGGTGATGTACTCCTGGGTGCAGGGAGTCTTTGCAAAGCTTTGCTGGCATCATGGATAGTAGGTCTGTGCTGATGGCATGGCTGGAGTCCTGGCTGAGGAAGCCACTGAAATGTGGGACTAATGCCAAGTTTAGGATCCATTTTCCCCCTGGGGGTGCCTGAACAGTCTTCCTCGACTTGTCCAGATGCCTCTGGGCCAGGCCGGCTGTGCCCCCCCACTCTTCTTGGGGAGGAGAATGAGCCCATGCTCTCTGGTGGTGTCTGATTTTTTAAGGCCCCTCAGAGCTGGCCTTGTCATGATTTCAGGGTCTTTCTGCCACCAGGCTCCTGTTTTTGGGCCACACTCAAGTTCTTCTAGTGTCTAGCACCTTGGAGGCCTTTACCATCAGCCTGTTCCTAATTCCGTCCTTCTACCCTTTCTAGACTGAAGCCAGTGCTTGGCTCACAGACAGGAGCAAGGAGAGCCAGGTGGTGGCGGGGGCTTTCCTGGGCCTCCTCCCCCCTTCGTTCTCTCTGGGCTGACTGGTGCAGAGCCCCCTGCACACCCTGTGTGGTCGCCATTCTCTACCCTGCCTGGTCTTCCTGCCCTGGCTCCTGTGCTTTCGGGGCTGGTGTCTTCACACCATCTCTTGTGCATTTAAAAATCTGAACTCTCCCAAGAGATCCGGTGCCATGAACTGAATGCTTGCCATGGCCCTTTCACGTCTGTGCTGCCCTTCCAGCAGCTCTCCTAGGGGCCATCGCAACTGTCGGCAAGCAGAGGACAGTGGCAGGCTCAGCCCGTGCCTGGTGAGAGACAGAGTCGGGCCTTCCCTGACGCTGATTCTCAGAAACACCCCCATGTGCCCTCTGAATGCCTGACCCCCTCCTTACTGGGGAGTCTGAGGTATCCCCCACCGAAGCCTGCCTCCGAGTGGCTGGCCGCCATCCTAGGGATACTCCTGTAGGCTCCCTGCCAGGGGTTCACACCAGCTGTAGCCGAGCTGTTGGGAACTTGCTCTCCTAAGTTCTAGGGTAAAGTCTCAGGCCCCACTTCCTCTGGCTAGTGCTGTCTGCAAGGGGACATGCTATTATTTCTGCAAGGTTCTTATTGCTTCCTCCTTCCAGGTAATTCTTCCTACAGATCAGGCCCTGGGCACCCTTTAGTGGTGGGACATGGGGAAGGGTCTCCCTTGGTCTCTGTCCATAGAGCTCTGAGGGGTCCCCATCCAGGCTGTGGGGTGAGTCATTGGGTCCTGTTCTCATGGTTCTGCAACTCTGTCCTGCACCCCAGGCCCATGTGCTTTGTGAAGCAGCTTGAGGTCCCTCCGTACGGAAGCTACCGGCCGAGTGTGGCCCCCACCACACCCAGGGCCAACTTGGCCAAGGAGCTGGAGAAGTTCTCCAAGGTCACCTTTGACTACGCAAGTTTTGATGCTCAGGTTTTTGGCAAACGAATGCTTGCCCCAAAGATTCAGACCAGCGAAACCTCACCTAAAGCCTTTAAATGTAAGTTGGGGAGAACCACTTCTGGAAGGTGTAGGGTTTGCGGGTCAGTGGAGGAGGGACCACGTGCCAGGAGCATGTAGGAAATCTGTGCCCTGGGTGGGTGATGGGAGAGGACTGGAGGCAAGCCCAGGGCCTAGCTGTCCAGTGTCTACCATGGCTGCTTTCTCTGAGTGCACCTTATCCACATTACCACCTCCATGTTCACCGTCAAACTTGATGTATCTCCTCACTATTTGTGAGACAAAACCCAGGCCCTTGATGTTGTCTGGGGCCAAAGGCTTAAGGATGATGTGGCTGCTGCGCGCCTGCCGTGAGAGCACTCCCTCTGGTGGCTGTCCCCTCCCAGAGCGTCATTCCTGCGCAGCTGCTGGGGGTGCCTGGGGAGGGTCAGACCACCGCGGCACTGAGTCAAGGCTCCCTGACAGAAGCTGTTTGTCTTCCTGCACAGGGACCATCTTGCATGTCTTATATGACTATGCAATATCTGTATAACAGCGACAAATATTCTAGGTACTTGTACTAACAAAGTGAATTCCTAGAAACCTTCAAGAACACAATCTTGCCTGTCTTTTCTGGTCAGTTATTGCACTAATTTGTGGGTTGCAAGCCCCTTATCCCTGGAAATCATATGAAAGGGAAAAGTGCCTGCAGTGTGCACATGAGGCTGGAGCTGGCCTCTCCCAGTGGCTGCCATCTGCCCCAGTGGCACTGGTGGTCCGTGATAGTTTCCAAGTTAGTAATGAAAATACCTGTGGATACAGTTGCCAGCTGGAGTTCAAACATCTCTCCCACTAGTTAGCGCTGGGCTTCAAGCCTTCACCAACAGGCACCCACTCACAAGGAGTTTTCTGTGTATCTGGAAGTTTACCGGTGATAGCAGCCTTTTGGGAAGTCGTGACAAAACTTCCCCACTTGAGCGGTATTCCAACCCCACATCCTATCATTTGCAGAGTTCTTCAGTTTCTTAGTAACATTTGGTGACAACTTGTTTTTGTTTGAAATAGCAGGGATGCTGCAATGTCTTTAGAAGGCTTGCTCTTTCTGCCCAAATTTTGGTCAAACCTAAAAGAGCATCCTCAGTACCCTACAAGAGGGCAAGTGGGAGTGGGGGGTGTGGGCACTTGTGAGTGGGTTGAATGGCCTGGCCCCAAATTCACTTCCATGTATGTGCCTGGGGTGCTCCCCGCCATCCCAAAGGCCCCTGATGTGTCTGTGTAGCCACTCGGTCCAGCTGTATACAGTCTGGTGTTGTTCCCTTTTTGCAGCCAAACCTCTTGCATGTCTTATATGACTATGCAATATCTGTATAACAGCGACAAATATTCTAGGTACTTGTACTAACAAAGTGAATTCCTAGAAACCTTCAAGAACACAATCTTGCCTGTCTTTTCTGGTCAGTTATTGCACTAATTTGTGGGTTGCAAGCCCCTTATCCCTGGAAATCATATGAAAGGGAAAAGTGCCTGCAGTGTGCACATGAGGCTGGAGCTGGCCTCTCCCAGTGGCTGCCATCTGCCCCAGTGGCACTGGTGGTCCGTGATAGTTTCCAAGTTAGTAATGAAAATACCTGTGGATACAGTTGCCAGCTGGAGTTCAAACATCTCTCCCACTAGTTAGCGCTGGGCTTCAAGCCTTCACCAACAGGCACCCACTCACAAGGAGTTTTCTGTGTATCTGGAAGTTTACCGGTAATAGCAGCCTTTTGGGAAGTCGTGACAAAACTTCCCCACTTGAGCGGTATTCCAACCCCACATCCTATCATTTGCAGAGTTCTTCAGTTTCTTAGTAACATTTGGTGACAACTTGTTTTTGTTTGAAATAGCAGGGATGCTGCAATGTCTTTAGAAGGCTTGCTCTTTCTGCCCAAATTTTGGTCAAACCTAAAAGAGCATCCTCAGTACCCTACAAGAGGGCAAGTGGGAGTGGGGGGTGTGGGCACTTGTGAGTGGGTTGAATGGCCTGGCCCCAAATTCACTTCCATGTATGTGCCTGGGGTGCTCCCCGCCATCCCAAAGGCCCCTGATGTGTCTGTGTAGCCACTCGGTCCAGCTGTATACAGTCTGGTGTTGTTCCCTTTTTGCAGCCAAACCTTTCCCAAAGGCCTCTTCCCATAGGCACAGCCCCTGCACTTCATCCTCTTCCGCAGGCTTCGACTACACGCACGATGCCGAGGCTGCACACATGGCCGCCACTGCTATCCTGAACCTCTCCACACGATGCTGGGAAATGCCTGAAAACCTCAGCACGAAGCCACAGGAGCTACCCAGCAAGGTTGGTGTGTCCCTTGCAAGGAGCCCCTTCTGAGGTAGAGGTGTAATGGTGGGATGTATAGTCAGGACAACGTGCCGCTTGCATAGATGTGCTCAGCAGCACCCAGTGTTGCCTTGGTGATTATCATTCTTACCTTTTCTCCCTCCTGGCCATGACATGCTATGACCAGAGATGTTGGGTGAACCCCCCGTGAGACTGCTGCGTGCTGCGTCTGAGAGGCACCAAATGGCGTGCATGTGTGTGTGCCCTGTTGTTGCCCTGAGTCTGAGGGTAGTATCACATGCCACCTGTGTGCCCCTGAGTCTGTTCATTGGGCACGTTGTCTGACTGTGGCCTTCTCCCGGATGTGCTGCTCCTGTGTTGGGAGACCGGAATAGGTTCTCCTCCGTGTGAGTTTCAGGAAGTGGCAAGTCAGGACTCTTTCCTCTCAGAGACTCTTTTCTGTTCCTATTTGGCTTCCTTTCCTTCCCAGGGAGCACATTTCTGGGCTTTCTGCAATGCTGATTCAGTGCCCCAGAAGGCTCTCACGGGGAGGGGCAGAATCACTAACATAACATAACACAGACATCCCCTGTGCGATCGCAGGCTGTGGACATTGAGGTGGATGAAAATGGGACCCTGGACCTGAGCATGCACAGACACCGCAAGCGGGATGGCACTTTCCCCAGAACCAGCCCGGGAGTGAGGTCTCCCGAGGCCTCCCAGCGCCAGGGCAGCACAAGTGCCACCAGCAGCTCCATGACCGCGTCCCAGTCGGGCCCAGCCTCCCGCCAGGATGAGTGGGACCGGCCTCTGGACTACACCAAGCCCAGCCGCCAGCGAGAGGAGGAGCCCGAGGAGGTGGGTGCCAGGCTGAGGCAGCCACTGGGGCAGGGGCTGCAGCCCAGTCTGCCCCAGATCAGCCTGCCTTGCCTGAGGACTGGTGTGAATGTGCCTCATTCTCTGGCGGGGGTCCTGCCCCTTTTCACACAGGGCTGTGGACCCTCCAGGCAGCTAGGGCCCCACCTGCCCTCCTGGACGGGTGTTCACCCTCAGGCTGTGCTGCGGCCTGTCCTGTCCAAGGCAGAGGTGGCCTTCTCTCCTCCACAGGGATGGTGGTCAGCACCAAGGCGGGCTCTCTGGGCAGAGTGGGGAGAAGGGTTTCTTTCACATCTCATAGGGGATGATTTGGGAGCAGCTCTGAATTCCCTGGTTTTGTGGGCCTCCCACCAACCAGCTGTCCACATAGGGACACCCTGAACTCTGGCAGCAGCCCCTCCTTGCTGTCCCCAGGATGCTCCAGGCCACCTGGCCCCCTGGACAGAAGCAGGAGAAAACTCCTGGCCTCGAACCCCCAGGGTAGACAGTGGCCCAAGTCCCAAGACCAGCCCCGCCTGGTGAAGAGCGGCAAGCAGGTGTCTGTCCTGGATCTGTAGTCTGAGCACAGTGGGCGTCCCCTTTACAGTCACTCCACTCACTTCAAATGGGGGCTGACTGAGGCTTTTCCCCAAAGAGGAGTGCTTCCAGCTCTGAGGATGGCCCAGGCTCTGGGCAGCCCCTGCACATGTGGGAAGGCCTGCAGGACCCTCCCCTCCTCTTCCTCCCCTTGCCAGCACCCCCGGTCCCAGGAGGGCAGTGGGCAGGTCCCTGTGCGGGCAAGGAGGTGGGGGCAGGCAGGATTCTTCTCTGAGAATTGCCACCTCCCTGTGAGTCAGGCTCCCCTCTTTATAAAGGAGCAGACTGGGACCCCGGCTGAGATCACTTGGCTCAGTCATGTGGCTGCAGCTTGGTGTCAGGCCCCAGAAGAGGTGCCCCTCTCAGACTGCACCCCAGTAGAGGGAGTTGGCCTAAGAAGTCGGCCCGGCACTGCCCGGGTGGCTTTCTCCCTGGTTTGTGGGACCCCAGTCTGAGGCAGGGTGGGCTCTCCTCTGGGCGCGGGGTCACCACCTCATTCCCCCAGTCTGCTCTCATCCTTATTCCAGGCCTGCGTCCAGACACCCCCCGCCCTGGCTGCCCGTCCCTGCCTCCTCAGCCCTCCCTCAGCCCCTCCCCTGCCCTTTTCCTCCACCGCCAGCTCAGGCTGGTCTCCCTGGGCTGCCTTGCCCCTCCCCTTCTCCACTCATACACCCTCTGAGCATCCTGTACCCTCCCAGACTGTCACTGTCCTGTCCGTGGACTGTGTCAGGTCTCAGAGGTCCTGAGGTCCCCACCACTGAAGCACTGCCCCTCTATCCTGAGCTCCATCCAGCTTGCTCAGGGGACTGAGTCACTTTCTTGTTCAATAATAGTAGCACCCACAACACTGACAACATCCCTACAGATTATGTAGGTGCCATCTTCACAGGCATTTCCCCATTTGATCTCCAGAAGTCCTGTCAGGGGCTGCTATTATTTCACGTTTAAAAGCGTTGCACCTGGGCCCCAAGAGGTTGAGCACCCCTTGCGTGGGACACACGAGTGCCAGCATTGGGATCTGAACCATGCACACACTACACAGAATGCCTCTTACAGATCCACCTGCCGGGTGTTCACTTTCTCAACTCTGTGGAAACCCGCCCTCCCACCACCACCTGGCCTCAAGGGCAGGGACTGTCTTTATTCACTCCTGTGTTCTCAGCATCCTGCTCCTGGGTGATGATTGAACACCTCCAGGCCTGCTGCAGGAGTTCAGAGCACTTATTAAGTGCCCGCTGTGGTCAAGGCATGGCGCTGGGCAGGGTCACAAGGTCACTGTGATTAGTTTTATTATACTTTGTACCTTATTTACTCTCACTGTGCCATAGCACTTTTTAAGTATTTTTAAATTTTTATGAAGTTATATTGATGTACAATCTTGTGTAGGCCATGGCATTTTAATACACCTTTTTAGTGCCTACCGAATGCCATCTGTAGCTCAAAGGAGCTGCACTTCCTGTAGGCTCTCATGTTTGGAAGGTGGTTACCCAGTGGCTGTGAGGTGGAGGCGACCCATGCGCCACGTGGAAGCTTTCAGGAGCGGGACACGCCCCCCCCCCCCCCCCCCCCCCCCCCGAGCAGCCCCGGGGCCCCGGCTGCAGGCATGGGGGTGGTGGGGCAGCACCGCAGCCCCTCAGCGTGCTCTCTTCTGTGTCTTGGGGGGTGAGTCTTACTCCCCCATCCAGAAGACAGGCAACTCCGGAAAACGCCTCTGTGGACGCTGTCCTGAAGTGCCCCTCTCCCTCAGGCCCTGGGCTGGGCACGCGGCCCCCGTCAGCTGGTTAAAACGTCTCCCTGCTGGTTTTTTGCAGTCAGAGCCAGCAGCCCATTCTTTTGCTTCTTCTGAAGCAGATGACCAGGAAGTGCCGGAAGAGAGTGTCGAGGAGCGGAAGTACCCTGGGGAAGTCACCCTGACCAACTTCAAGCTGAAGTTCCTCTCCAAGGACATAAAGAAGGAGCTGCTCACGTAAGTCTCCACCTGGGCTGGCAGGGGTCCTCAGAAACCTCTGGGCCCTGGAAGGAAACACGCCGCCATCCGAGCCTGGAACGCCTGGGTGTGCTCGTCGGGCCTCCCCTGCCCGGCCCGGCTCTGACTGTTCTCCTGGCCCGACTGCCTTGGCGGACAGAGGTTGGGATTCCTTCCCTTGAATCCTCAAAGCCGGGCAGTGGGGACACATCAGCTGGTTCCGTTACCTCCACACTGCACTCGTGTCTGGCACGATCTTCTAAAAAATGACTGGGAATGAGGAAGAGCCCTGCTCTGGCCTGCAGAGCAGGACAAAGGCTGAGGGGAGTGGGCCTCTGCACGAGCTCACTGCACCCTGGCCTCATGTGCCTTGTGCCTCAGGACTGGGCGCCTTCAGCTGTGGTGGCCCAACAGCTCCTTGGAATTACTCTTTACAGGGTTTGACCAGATGTCATTAGGGAGTGAGGTGGTTGTAGATAGATGTGAGCCTTCCCGTTGCCTCTGGTCAGCCCCCCACTGAGGACCCCCTCTCCTGGAGGTCTGTGAGGGTCCATGCCTGGCACCCGCACCACAGGGGATCCAGCCTCGCCTGTGCTCAGTTTGTTTCTGGAGTCCTTCTTCTCGTTGCTCTGAACCCCACCCGCTTCTTCCTCCTCTGTAGCTGGCTGTCCCCTCCCCAGCACGGCCAGATCCAGGCTCAGGTCTGGGGCCTTGTCCCCAGGGAAGGCCATGCCGTTCAGGAAGGAGCCCCCTGCCTGCGTGTTCACTGGTACATGCACAGCCCGTGCACTTCAGAGACATCCTGTCTTCAAGGGGAACTTTAGCTTGGCTCTTTTCTCCTTCTTGAGTTAAGTTTTGTGGGAGGAATTTGCTGGTGAGGACGCTGCTCCGAGGATGAAGGTGGGGGAGTTGCCCCTTGGTCAGCCAGAGCAGGTGCCAGCCTGCCTCTTCGAGTAGGCTCCCTGGGAGCAGAACTGGTGGGTGAGCCTGCTCCCTGTCCTGACACTCTTTTTCCTTTGTCCAGCTGTCCTACCCCTGGCTGTGACGGCAGTGGGCACATCACTGGGAACTATGCCTCCCACCGCAGGTTCGTGCCCCGCTTGGGTCTGGCCTTGGCGCTGCGTGGTGGGCCTTCTCCTCTCCGCCTCTGCCTCCCTCTCTGGCTTACCCCGATCTCTTCTCTTTCAGCCTCTCTGGTTGCCCTCTTGCTGACAAGAGCCTCAGAAACCTCATGGCTGCCCATTCTGCTGACCTCAAGTATGTCTGCCCTCCTGGCCTCCATGTCCTGGGCGGCTCCCTTGCTCTGCTCTCTCTTCCATGAGGCTCCAGCCCCTGGCTGGCCCCGCCCAGTGGGACGGGGCAGAGAGGCAGGGCCACGGTAGCCGATTCTGCCTGGCTGGGGCCGCTGCTGCCTGTGTCTCCCTGCTGAGTGCCGCTGTCTGCCGTCTGCCTGCTCTCTCCAGCTCCCATGCCCCCTCCCCCTGGCCCTGCCAGCCTTTCCTTGGGTTGAAGACCGAGAAGGGAGCCCCTGATGGTCCAGCCCACCCTCTCCTCCTCCTGAGAACCTCTGACGGTTGTCTGGGCCTGCTTCTGTCATTGCCCTTGCGATGTGTGTGGGAGGAGGCCAGCACTGGCCTTGGCTTGTTCATCTTGTCACGGCCCAGAGGGCTCAGGCTGTGCGGCTCTTGCTAAAGGAGGGTGCTGCTGCTGAGAGAGAGCTCTTTGCCCTTCCCTTCTCCTGCAAGCCTTCCCGCTGCTTCTGTCTGAGCTCCTGGTGCCCTCCCAGATGTGCCTCCCCTCCACGCTCAGCTCTTCTTTGCTGAGCCCCCTTTCTGCTTCTGCTCCCTGCCCCTGACACACAGGCGGGGCGGGGCCTGTTGGCACTGGCTGGCCTCCTTGACAGTCCTGCTCAAATGAGACGCAAGGCGTCAGTGTCCTCTTGAGGCTGGAGTTGGGGCCTGGCAGCGCCTTGGGTTTTCATGCCTTCAGCTGAGTGGTGGCATCACGGCTGGCATAGCCCTGAGCTGTGTGGCACTTGTGCTGGGCTCCAGGGCTGGGCTGAGGCTGAGGAGGGAGGTTTACTTGTGTCCCCTCAGGTCACCCCTTTCCAGGAGTGGTTCCCCCTTCCTCAGGCCCCTGTGCTGGCGAGCCCTGAATCCAGGCCGAGTTTCCCTGGCTTATTCTGTTCTGGGTCCAGACAGGAGCCAGGGCCCTGGTGCCTCCAAGATGAGCTGGTGTTGCCGAAGGCTTACAGGGGTCTGGGCTGGTTCAGTGACGCAGCAGAAAGCTCCCGACCTCACCGAGCAGCCCTGGCCTGCCAGCCTTCTCTCCGTTGCTCTGGTAACAGCCCATCGGGTCCCAGCAGCCAGGAGCTGTTGTTACCAAAGTGCCTGCAGCCACGGCCATCGTCGGCTTCAGCATGGCGTTGAGGCTCAGCCGCAGGGCAGGTTCCTTCCTGGTGCCCAGCCCCAGGGCCCTGGCACACAATCGCCCGCAGGCTGAGGACCCGCTCCTCCTCTCCCCTCTTCCCTCCTCTGTCCTCCTTCTGTCTTCCCTTGTGTTCCTCTCTCCTATTTCCTTTTCCAATTCTACCTGCTTTTCAATTATGATGAGTTTTCATGGTTTTCCAGCTTGAGGGCCTGGCTGGATTTAGAGCTCTAGATGTAGGCCTTGCTTTCTGCAGAGCAGATGCTCAGGGGTGCTGGAAGGAAAAGGTGGGAGTGTCTGGGCCCAGAAATATGGCCGTCTGGGGTCGGGGGGCCAGTGCCTCCCAAATGTGTGGAGAACTGTAACCCAAACCTTGTTTAGAAATAGCAACAGAAAGTCTTCCCAGTGTGGAGACAAGTCACTCATCCAGCCTTGGCAAGGTCTGGGACGGTGTCCAAGGTGCCCCAACTCCCTCTAAAGCTCTTCTCTCCCCTCGGGAGTCTTTCTGTGTCCCACTCCTTGCCTGGGCCTGGGATGGCTATAGACTGGCCTTCATCCCGTGCCTGGAATGCCAACACTCCCCTCTGCCTCTCCCTCCTGCTGTCTAGTGAATGTCTGGCATGGGCTGTTCCTGACCAGTCTTGTCGCAGCAATGGATGAAGGAGGCCTGTCCCCAAGGGGACAAAGATACCTACGTCACTGTCTTGTGAAGTGAGCTCTCTTGGCAGCTTCCCTATCGACAGTAGGGTGTAGCAGCTATCTCTGGTGATGTGTTTTCTGGGTTCAAATCAAATCAAATCAAATCCCAAGGGTCTTTGCTCTTCTCTCCCATGTGACCATTGTGTTCAGGGGCTTGGGACACAGTGGTCTTGGGCACCCCTTCTGTGTGCTGGGAGTGGCAGTATAGCCACACACCCTGCAAGGGAATGATGGGGAAACGGTCCCCCCAGCGAACAGCAGTGGGGATCAGAGGCAGAGCTTGTGGGCACCATCTATCTGTAGTGCTTCCTTTAGATGTGGGTCATCCTCCTGTGCAGACACACAGCATATTCAGAAGCAGACGGTGGGAGGGTTCCTGCAGCTGACCTGTGGGTGTGGCTTACACAGCTGGCCCAGAGGGATGCCTGCTTCCCTAGCTGCATGAACACCATTCTCTCTTGGGTACAGCTCCTGTGAAAAGCCTTGTCAATTGAATTGAATCAGGCTCACAAGGAGTGCGGGACGGCCCCATCTGCCTGGAGGAGATGTGCCCTGGGGATTCGGTCCCACCTGTGCTGGGGTCTGGTGGGCCACCCAGGAATGTATTCTCACCTAGCCAATGTTCTTCACTCCCCGGACTCACAGGTGCTGGTGGGGTGTGGCTTGTAGGCTGCCACCCATGGCCCAGAGCTGTCTTTGTGGCCCTGAGACTCAGGGCCGCCAGGGCTCATGCTACCCTTGCCACCACCTGCAGCGTGAGCCGCTGGGAAGGAGTGGAGCCCCAGGTGGCCCCTGAGCAGCTGCGAACCCAGGAAGGAGAAGCACGGTGCCCACTTTTTGCACTCAGCCTGCCCCAGAGTAGGAAGCGGGCTCTGACTGGCCTGGCCATGGGAGTGTTTGGCAGGGCGCCCCCAGCTGAGGAGGGGACAGTGGGCATCGCAGGGGCATTGGCCACCGCACAGAGCTGTGCCTGCAGCTCAGTCCCCAGGGGCTGTCCTGAGTGGCTCGCACCCTGGACCTGGACAGTGTAGACACAAAGCGCCAGAGCAGACGTGTCCCAGCAGCTGTAAGTTTGTTTGAAAGGAAGAAGCCTGCCTAGATGGAGGTGGTGGGTGGTTGCCCTTAAAATGTGAAAACTTCCCTGTCCCAGACTTGCATGGGTTTAAATGCCATGCACGTGGTGGGGACAGGAGCCATCATAACCTCAGTGGAGTTTGAGTCAACCCAAAACCCGACTGGAGGGTGATGATTTTACAGGTTGGCTGACTGGCAGGCCAAGGAGGTGTTCCATGCATGGCAGGAATGAGGGGGTGCCTCGACAAAGTCCTCAGGGGCTGGACAAGGAGCTGGGTTTGGGGGTATCAGAGGACCCCTGGGCATCAGGCCCCTTATGTCGCCACACCAGCCTTGAGGTTTCTCTGATGGGGATCAGGCAGCGATGACCTGCTGAGGTCTGGGAGGCGACCCAGAAGCTGCAGGGAGTCCTTGGGCTGCGCGGGCTTCCTCTGTCCTGCCCCAGATGTGGACACTGTGTGTGCTGGGGAGCAGGATGCTGAGGAGGGGCCTCTGGCTCAGCGCAGGGCCTGAGTGTCATGGAGCCCGCTTCTGACTGAGAGGCAAAGACCTTGTCCTGCTCCACCTGTGGCTGGTCCCGCGACCCTCTGGGCCACTCTGGCATTCAGGAATGGCCTTGGCTCTCCTGGTTCTTTCTCCGTGTGAGGCTCTTGGCTAAACCAGACATGTTGGCTAAGCCAGAAATAGTAGAAAACAGGCTTTCTGGATGCACCCTCCAAGGTCCTGTCAGGGCCCTTGGTGTCCGAGCTTCCCCCTCACTGGGGACCAGGTGTGACGTGGCAGGCCCACTGCAGAGGGGGCTTCCTGTGCACCCATCTAGAGACCCACCAGCAGAATCAGGTGGACTCCCCACCCTGACAGAAGCAGGAACATTTTTTCTCAGTGGACATTCAGGGGAAAAAAACTTACAAAAAAAATCCATGCTCATATATTAAAGTGGAATTCCTACCTTCTAACATGTTTGTCATATGTTAGACAACACTTGGGGTGCATAAAGTGGGCTGTGTTTCGTGTCTCCCCTCCTTACTCTCTGCTGTTGCCTGCCGCTCCTCAAGGCCCCTGGCTGTGTGGACTCTGCACTTACTGAGAATCCCACCTCTAGGTGTGGATGGTAAACGCCTGTTCATCTGTCCATGGGGGTGGTAGCCCTCCGTGAGAACAAGCCCTCTTTCTCCCAGGGAAGTTGAGGAAGATGAACCCATCTTAGGTATTACATTTGCCTTCCTGAGCACTCACATTTAAACTTAAGGCCCATATGTGTTCTGGAACCTTCTAGTGCATCCTAAAACCCTACAGGAGGCTGTGTCAGGAGTCCATCATCTCTGCACTGGAAATGTCCTCTCCTCTTGATATTTCTGGGCCCCTTGGGGAAACTGGCTGGTAAAATTCTGAAGCCTGGAGGTTGTGGCAGCTGTGGCCAGGATGTGACCTCAGTGCTGGGAGGTGGGGGTCCGCCAGGGGGGCCACACCGGCCGAGCACAGGGAATCCCTCGTGGCCACACGTCTAGTCCCAGCTCTGCTGTCCTCTGCAGGTGCCCCACACCTGGCTGTGATGGCTCTGGCCACATAACGGGGAACTACGCATCGCACCGGAGGTGAGCCTGCCACACCTGGGGTGCCAGGCAGTGGAGGTGGGGTGTCTCTTCTTAGATGAAGTTCTAAAGCTCCCAATATGACACTAACATTGCTGACAACTAGAGCCCATGCTATCTCTTTGCTGAACCGCTGATGTTCCCAAAGCCTGGTCTGGTCGCCCCTGCAGCCAGAGCCAGGACCCCCGGTAACACTCCCTGTCTTTGGCCCTCCTGCCCCATGGAGGGCTCACTGTTGGACGGTTCCTTGGGATCGGGACCCACGGCACTGCTGGTCACAGAACCTGAGGGGAGCCTGGGGCCTATGGGTGTGAAAAGCTGCTGTTCTGGGACCATGGTGGCGTTTTTTCCCACTTTTAAAACTAGCTTGTCCGGCTGCCCTCGTGCCAAGAAAAGTGGAGCGAAGGTGGCACCCACAAAGGATGACAAGGAGGACCCTGAGCTGATGAAGTGAGTCGGGGGCCTGCTGGCCCCTTGCATTAGTTTGTAGAACTGTTCTTTTCCTGTATTTTATAATTTTTTAAAGCTCCTTCTATAATCTCATTTCTTTAAAACAGTTGATCACTGACAATATCCATTTTTACAGAAGTTTTCTGCTATGCATGTGGGTGCCCACAAGGGCATGAGCCGTGTGTGTTGGATTGAGGGCATCACAGACACCTGCCTGCCTGGGCCTCTCAGGTCTGGGGGTGCTGGAGAGGTCAGAGGTCAGACCTGAGAGGCCACCTGGGCATGGGTTCAGGGTCTGTGGCGGCTCCACCGAGCATTCATGGGCACTGCAGTCTGCGCGACTCTGACCTGGTGGGAACAGGCCCCTGTGGGAGCTGAGGAGAGGGTGGTCAGGAAGGTGATGGGTCTCGAGCTGTCCGTGTCTGCACCCTCTCTCATACACCTTGCCAGGGAGCTGGTGTGAAGTGAGGGAGTCTGGGGGGGGGGTGACCCAGAACTGGGGCCTGGACTCTGCCACGGGGGCGTAGAGAGGACATTCTGTACCCTCCCTTCAAGGAGAACATTCTGAGGCTCTCCACTGACCTTCTCACGGGGGATGGCTGACACGTCATCAGAGGGCTTGTGTGTGAACTCTGACCCTGTGAGTGCCCCACTCAGGTGGTGGTGGGTGGCGAGGGGAGGGCTTTAGTCACTGCAATTTTATCCTTCCAGAAGGGAATTTGCTAGTGGGGGCAAAAGGCTGTGCCACAGATCAAACAGGGTGACCCACCGTCCAGTTTGCCCAGGACTTTCAGTGCTGACACCAGGCATAGCAGGCAATGGGTCCCCCGGCAGGCCGGGAGCGGGACGGAATGGTTGTGGCTGCCCTGTGGCCAGAGCCTCGTGAGTGCCTGTCTTGGTCAGAGCCCTCTTGGTCAGATCTGCCCTCTGTATGCTGACCACAAGCCAAGAGCAGCCAGATGCTCACCCCTGCCAAGGGAGCCACCCGGTCCAAGGTTTGCTCTCTCCTCTTGGGTCTCACCCACCCTATGCCAAACATGTGCTCGGCACTGGAGGAGGGGCCCGATCGGCCAGTTCACCAAAGGGGATGGCCCCACTAGCCATTTGGTGTGATAAGGCTGTGGCTTGTTTGTTTATTTAATTTTTGCAATGAAACAATAATGCTAAATCAACAGTGCAAAAATATGTTGGTATGGTGAAAGCTGCCTACTTAATGTTAGCGTGGGTTAAGAGTGTTATTCCCTCTTAGAATCCAGGGATTTGCCTGTGATCATATAGATGCAGTGCTCTTTGGGATTTGGAAGGATCCTGCTGGTAGGGACGTTGTAAGCGGATTGTGCTGCATTTGCAAATGATTAAAATCAAGATCAGCATTTTTCAAGGTAACTGGTAAAAGTGGTTTTCTTCCTCTGTGCTGTCAACTTTGCTTTTAAAATAATCTCTGCAGCAAAGTGGAAAATGTGACTTAGAAACAGTACAGCATTCACAGGACAGATGAAGTTCCTAATGGCTCCACAGCAGGAAGGGGAGCCTCTGTGTTATAGAGGCCGTACATCCTCTCTAGCCATACACTTTAGCCCTATTTATAATTGACCAGCATCTTTACATAAGTGCAGACTGTAGCAGAAACTTCCCTAGATGCGTCAGGGATGGGATTCGTGAACATGCCGTGCTGTGATTCTGGAGGGGCTGCCTGAAGAAGAACCCTTTTTATGGCATCTTGTGTCTACACAGTTTGAGATTAAGTCACATCAGCAGTTTGTGGTAAATCTCTTTGGACAGAACCAAATAACTGGCCATAAACTTCCTAACATAAAGGAATGTTAGGGTTTTGCAAAGAAAGTGGGAAAGAAGACTTCAGATTAAACTGTGTGTTGTAACTGTGAAGAAACATCTCTCATGTAGCCTCTTGATCTTGTGATGTCGGGGCCTCACCATCACCTCAAGCGCCTGACCCAGGTGTCCCCTGGAGCCCCACAGCTAGGAGGTGTCCAGGTTTTGGGGGCCGACAAGGAATGGAACCTCCCCAAGCCCCATGGAGGGGCCCCTGGCTCTGCTCTGGGGTGGTGGCTGAGGTGACCTTGGACCAGCTCAGCAGATACCACTCATGTCTGAGGCTCGAGTGGGTGGCATGCTAAGAAAGCAGCAGGAGCCAAGCGAGGGGGACAAATGAGGACAGGTCCCCGCCAAGGAGTGTCTGCTGTGGCCACCTCGGAAGTGAGGCAAGAAGCCTGGGATGGCCTTGACACTGGGCAACGTGGCCCTGGCCCCCAGCCCTGCCACTGCAGCAGGAGCCCCTGGACAGCCCTTGCCCTCCCAGGGCTCCTTTCCTCTGAGTTCTCTGCATCCCGAGGCCCTCTGTAAACTAGGCTGCATGTCCCTGCTGGATCTGGTGTGTTTGTGGGTCTGCACACAAAGAAAATGGGTGGCAGGTGGCAAGTTAGTGAATCATTTGTTTGAGGGCCAACACTGAGAACTTGAAGATGGAAGAACTTATCCTGGGTCAGGTGCTCATTCCCAGGTGATCCTGACCTCAGATCCCACAATCCTGAAATGCTGGTGCTCAGCAGGCACCACAGGGAGGTCCTGGTCAGGTCCCTCCTGAGGTCGGTGATGACCCTTGGCCTCATCTGCATCATCCTGGGACTGCATGGACTCCAGTGGCAGTGTGAGGGGAGTCCTGGTGTACCTTTTCAGGTTACCTCACCTGTTCTGGGAATTTGTTACTTCCAAAGGGATCCTCTCCTTGAACCAGAGCAAAGGAAAATGCCATCCAAGCCAGCTCTGGGAGGCTGTCACTGCAGGCGTCTGTGTCTTCTTTGCCACATGAGCTCTGTGGCCTTGCATTCTTCCTTCTGGGACACCCATGGGCATCATGATACCATTAGTCTCATCCTGGAACCTGTGGGGAGACGGGGCCCCTGCTGCCTCCGAGCTCCTGGGCTCAAGGTGCACCTGTGACCTCCTGTGACGCCCCAGACTCACCAGGCCTCATGCTTGGTGCAAGTCTCCAACAAGTGGCTTCTGGGCGACTTTAGCCCATACCTTCATTCCACATTGCTGGAGTGATACATGAGTGATGCTAGCCCAAGGTCTAAGCATGGACCCAGGAGCCTCTGAGAGACAGCCCCAGGGCCCAGGGGTCTTGGGGTCATGCTGGGGATGCAGGGGGAGGGTGGCTGCTGACTCTCCAGTTAGGTAGGGGTGTGAGACCAGAGGTGCGGAGGGGACACGATCCTCCTGCCTTGGCCTCCAGTCGGGGGACCCAGGTCCTTCCCTAAGTTTCCAGGACTTGCTCTAGCAGCGGGAGCTTATCCAGGAGCCCCCAGCAGAGCCCCATGTCCAGTTTGGTTGGGTCTCTGGGCTCACTTCTCCCACCTCCAGCACCCAGTGCTCAACTCTGACTTCTTTGTGCCATAGGTGTCCAGTTCCAGGCTGTGTGGGGCTTGGTCACATCAGTGGCAAGTATGCCTCTCACAGAAGTGCATCTGGCTGCCCTCTGGCCGCCCGGAGGCAGAAGGAAGGTCCCCTGAATGGCTCGCCATTCTCCTGGAAATCACTGAAGAACGAGGGGCCCACCTGCCCCACTCCAGGCTGTGATGGCTCTGGCCATGCCAACGGGAGCTTCCTCACTCACCGGAGGTAGCCCTCCCCACATCCTGCCCTTTCTGTGCATCCATCAGTGACCACAGCTTTGAGGCTGTGGGCAAGGCTCCCCAGGGAGGGCCAGACTAAGAGCCAGGTGTGACCTGTAGTTCTGAAGGGAGAAGCAAGTGCCAAGTTGGTAGCCGACTTGGGGAGGCTGTAGAAAGTCTCTTGGCGCCAGGTGCTGGTATTTGTGACGTTGGTCACCCAGGTGCTACTGTCGTGAACCCCCTTCCCACATGCTGACGGAGGCCCTCCGGTGGGAGTGAGCAGAGGCCTGTGGCTGGCGGCGCTTTCTTCGAACAGGCTGCTGGCTTCTCATGAGATGCCTTGTCCGTCTACTTCCCGCCTTGCCCCGCCCTCTGGGGCCTCCTCTTTTGAATTCTGGGTCCAGGCCTCTGCCTACTTTGCATGGGACCTGGTGATGAGACCCCTCCCTGTCTGGGTTTGGGCCCAGACAGTACCCATTGGCTCTCGTCTGTCCCCCAACAGTTTCCCCAGGGCTGGGGGCCCTTGCCTCTGATTTTCTGTGCCAGGCAGCCAAAGGGACATCCAAGGGCACTAGGTCATCACCTGGTCCTACCAGAAACCTCCTTTTTCTTTTTTTTTCTCCTGTTTCTCCAACTGCAAGATTGATTAACTCATTCATTCAACAAACCTTTACTGAGAGTCCACTGAGTACCAGGCTCTGGAGGAAGAGCAGAGAGCAAGAGTGATATCTGGCCTTCCTTGAGTTGATTGGGGCAGGGCAGGTTGGGAGACAGGACTGTAAAAAAATAAGTCAAATACCTAGCATGGCAAAGGATGTACATATGTTGAGGAAGACAGCTGCACAGAGGAGGTCAGGAGTTTGCACCAAGCCTTCTGGGACAAGCCTTTAGGGCAGTGGCCTGAGCTGACAATGGCCCGGGCTGCTGGACAAGAAGTGAGGAAGTTGGGGGTCCCGGAGCTGGGGAGCAGGGGCAAAAGGAGAAGAACTAGAAGGTTCTGAACCAGGATCCTACCATGCTGCCAGCCAGGGAGGGCTCGGCTTCTACTATGGTCTGTGACCTCAGATTGGCCCTTTGTGTCTGTGACCTTCAGTGACCTGTGTGCTCTGTGACCTTGGACTGGGTAATGTGCGACCTTTGCTTTCAGCTTGTCTGGATGTCCCAGAGCAACCTTTGCTGGAAAAAAAGGAAAACTCTCAGGGGATGAGGTTCTTAGCACAAAATTCAAGACGAGTGATGGTAAGGATGCCCTCTGGCAATCCCAGCGTGTGGTCTTTGTGGCCTGGGTGAGTGAGCAGCCCTGGTGGGAAGGCAGTAGGGAGGCAGAGCTCCTCCTGGAGGGGTCATGGTGGAGACAGACTCTTTGACTGGGGTGGACAGGTCTCTCAGCTTTGGCTGCAGACCTCAGGTTGCCCTGGCTAGGCTCCCAGCCCTTGGTGGCCGTGCTGGCTCTGACCTGCGTGTCGGTGAGTGTTGGCATCAGGGAACTCTGCTGGCACCGGAAGCTATGTTCTCAGGGTTTGTGGAGTTGTGAACTCACTAGGTCCCAGTGAAGAGGGAAGCTGAGGGGATTCAACACCAAATGGTAAAACTTCCCTGTTTATCTGAGCAAATCAATACCTGCCAAAGAAGTTTATGCTTTCCCATCTACGACCCAGGGCCAGGAGGCAAACAGCAGATACGGGGCTGGTGGTCTCCAAGACTGACCCTCCCAGCATGAAATATGGGCTGTGGCCCGCCCAGCACAGGAAGCTCAGAGGCCAGGCCAGGGCCTCTGCTTGGGAAGGGCCCTTACCCCCACTTGCTGCCGGGCTGGAGGCTGAGAGCCGTGACCGAGGTTTCTCTCCGGCACAGTGCTGGAAAATGACGAGGACATAAAGCAGCTGAACCGGGAGATCCGCGACCTGAACGAGTCCAACTCAGAGATGGAGGCTGCCGTGGCACAGCTGCAGTCCCAGGTGGGTGTCACTGCACGGCCGGCCCCCATACCAAGGCCCTGCCCACCTCCCAGTCTGAGGAAATCTTTCCCATCCTCAGCCTCCTCCTGTGTGAGGTGGGAAGAGGTGAGCCCCTCGTCAAGGCTGCGGTGGGCACTGCTCAGGGATGCTCAGTGCAGACCCTGCCATCGTGCCGGGAGTTCTGCAGAGCCGTTGGCTGTGGTCCCGTCGTGGTCAGTGGTCCTGTCAGCAGGAGCAGTACCATGCTGTGGATTCTAAGAGCCTGGCTGGAGCTGGATTTCACCCCAGCACAGCCACATGTCAGCGAAGGGGCCTCTTAGCCAGTCTGCACCTTGACATCCTCACCAAGAGCACAGAGATAATAATAGGCATCAACTCTGTGCAGTTGATGTAAGAGGAAAGCAATTAGCGCAAGTGTCTGACCCAGAAAGAGTGGCTGTTGTGAGTGACAGGATTACAAATTACTTTAAGTGTATGCGTCTTGTCTCTCTGATTTCCCCAAAATGAACATTTGTTATCAGAAAATAGCGGTAAAGGTCTTATTCTGAAAACAAGATTGTGCCCTGCCCTTGGCAGCTGAGTTGGGGCTGGAGCAGAGCTCAGGGCACAGGAGCAGCCACACATAGCCACACCCGCTAAGGCTGCAGGGACAAAGGGACAAGGAAATGACCAGGCCCTGCAGGATCTGAGAGCAGAGAGGACAGACGGGGAGATGGAGGCCGCAGTGCAGCGCATCAGAGCTCCGCCTGTTCTCTTACGCTGCCGCTTCCTCCTCTGGTGAGCAGGCTCTGGCACCGACCTGCTGTCACTCGGCGCCTGTGTAGAAATAGCATCAGCTGGTGGGGATCAGGAAGGGCTTTCATCCTGCTGCGCAGCGTCTTCCCCACGCACACAGGCAAGAGAGGCAGGGGGGTGCTGGGCCGCCTCTGGGCACCAAGACTCGTGGCTGGTGGCCGTCACCCGCTGTCCCTGCCTGCTCCTTCCCCTCCCCGAGTCCAGGCAGCCTCCAGGGTCAGTGTCCTTGGGACAGCACCTCTGCTTCCTCTTTATTTGCTGATACCCACCTTCTTACAGACAGATCATTCAGTGACATCCTTTTGGAAGGACTCTGAGACCTCTTTCCCCTCCAAGGAATTTTGAGTCGTGTGCTCTGCAAAGGGCCTCAAGCAAAGAAAAGATAGGCCCTCAACCCCTACTCAAACGTTTTTAAAGCCAAAAGTTTGCCACCAGGTGATGAAAACATGATGCTCCCCAGCCACAGGTCACAGAGCCGTGTGGTTGGAGGAAAGCACTGGATCCCAGCCATAACTCCTAAAAGGCAGCTCACCATTCAGCACCCAGGGGATGGTCCCATGTGTCACACAAACTGTGTGATCTTGCCTCTGCCCGAGGCTTCTGTGAGATGCACTCAGGCTGGGGCTGCCCTCCCAGACACGTGTTCCCCAGACCAGGCTCTGGGGCAAGCTTCCCACCTTCTACCCACTGGCTGGTACCTCTGCAGAGGGCCGTGCTGACTCTCAGACTCACCTGGTAGCCTGAGCTGCTCAGAGAAGGCAGGGCTGCCCATAGCTGTCAGCCTTATCATCGCCAAACCTCTGGGATTCCAGTATGGAACACTGAGAGCCCCCTGGGAGAAGCTTCTGAGTTTCTGACTGGGAGTCCCTCCTGGTGTCCTGCTGTGTCCACAGAAAAAAACGTGTGCTGGAGACCCGAGGGTGCTCCCAGGGCACGCTGCAGAAGTCATTGGCCGGCCCCACTCAGCTGGAAGCTGCAGAGGCAGATAGAGTTGCCTGTCCTGCTCGCCTCCACAGCTTCACTGAGGCCCTTTGTTGTCTTTCTGGTGGGGGACAACTCAAATACAGCTGGACACCCAGTGAGGTGGGTGAGGTATGCCCATTAGACATAAGGAAAAAGAGGCACAGCGCAGCCGACTGTGTGGCAGGTGGTGGCCGGTATTTGAGCTTTGGAGTCTCAGATTCCTGACCCTGCAGGACAGAGGCAGCATGGACAGCCAAGGCCGCACGTGGCCCTGGGCCCAGAGACTGCATCCCCTCCTCCACCCAGGGACCCAGGAGGCAGGGTCCCTGCCTCTTTAGCCTCCACCAGGGAGACATGAAATATGGCAGCGCTACTGTTCCTGGTGTGCCCCCAGAAGGACGTGAGGGACACTGTCCCCAGGGCCCCTGTGAGTGCCAGGAGGCACTTCCCGTCTCTCTCTCTGGTGCAGATCTCCTCCATGGAGAAGAGCCTGAAGCACATTGAGGAGGAGAACAAGCTCATTGAGGAGCAGAACGAAGCCCTGTTTCTGGAGCTGTCGGGCCTGAGTCAGGCCCTCATCCAAAGTCTTGCCAACATCCGCCTTCCACACATGGTAAGCAGTGTGAGGCCCTGTGGGCACCCCCGCTGAGTGGGGCTAGCTGCTCCCCAGCACTCTGCGGGAGGCAAGGAGGGCAAGCACCTTCTTGCTCTGGGGTCCTGCTGGGAGGGCCTGACGTAGGTGCCCTGCCTGGGCAGGCCCACAGGGTCTCCAGCCTTCCTGAGCTTACTAATCTGTAGCAGAATGCTCACGGCTGTTTCAGCCCGAGGGTGGAACTGCCAGCCCTGCCCCTGGTCCGTGTGGGCTTGTCTCAGGCAGTGCGTCTAAATCAGTCCGATGTTCCACCGTTGATTTCCATGACTTCTGAAACCCGTGGGGCCCACTGCACGGCGGGGCTCACTGACCTGGTTCTGTCCTCCAGGAGCCAATATGTGAACAGAACTTCGACGCCTACGTGAGCACTCTCACCGACATGTACTCCAACCAGGAGTGCTACCAGAACCCCGAGAATAAGGACCTCCTGGACAGCATCAAGCAGGCTGTGAGGGGCATCCAGGTCTAGGCCTTGCCATTCAAGGAGCCATCTTGCTTATCTGGGGTGCCCAGGACCTCCTGAATTTGGCTTCATTGTTTACCTAGCCCTGCCCTCCCAGTGGAGATTTCCAACTCACAGTGACTTCTAGTTGGCAGTGTGGGGTGGCCCTGGGTGGGTTTATCCAAAGGGGTGCCTGGAAATAAGTGTCTCCCTTGATGCTCTTGCCAGGTGCGAGGCCTTGACCTCCCCAGGTGAGTGCAGGGCTGGGCGTGAAGTATTACAAAGTGATCTATTTTTTTTCTGAAAGAAATCTGAAGAGCAGCTCAAAGTCTCCAATGGAAGCTCATGGACAAGGTTCTCAGGGAAGTTTTGGAGTTTGCAACCACAGTATTCCTTTATCTGTCAAGGCTGGGAGGGTGACTGTGGGCATGGGGCAGGTGGTGCGTGTGATGGTGTCAGCCTGGAGCTTGCTCCCTGGGGCATGCGTCTGCTTGGTGAGGCCAATGTAGCAAGTATGTTTTCTGTTTCATTTATTCAGTTTTGTGTTAAGGATGGAACAAAGCACTGTTCCAGAGGGTAAGTTAGGAATAGGCTTGCAGCCCCTGTCAGCTCAAGAAATCTAACCTGGGAGGCTCCGGAAAGTTGACCGTTGGTTCAACATTAAAGCGCCTCATGCTGGGAGTGGCTGGCGTCCCAAGCCTGCAGCAGTCACCTGAGGGTTGGGGTCATGCTCCCTCTTGGGACTGTGGCTTTTAGACCCAGGTCTGGGCCAGGGCCAGGGTCTCTGGCTTTCTGTATGTCCACCCAGGCCTGTGACCCATCACTGCCACATTAACTGGGTCGCAGCTGAGCTTGACCGAGGTGGGTCCACACCAGTGAGGTAGGCAGATAAATTCCTGATTGGAGACCACCAAGGTCTCACTTATTTTTAGATACATCAAGATTCAAAAAAAGGCAAATTTTAATATGATGTGTTAAAAACACAAAGTTTCTAACATGTAAATAGAGTCCAATGGATTGTGACTGCAATTCCAAGTTAGTATTTAAAAGTAGAGAAATTGCACTTCCTGGAAGAAATAAAAAAGTAGTTAGTTTCATTACTCTGTAAATTATTTAATTTTGTCAAGATGTAAGTATTTATATTCACAACCTCTTATGTTAACGTTGCTATTTATTTAACATTTTTATTTATTAATTTCATGTATTTCAACTGCACCCTACACCAGGATACCACGAGAGGAAGATAGACGAAATCAAAGGAAAATGAACTCTCCAACCATGAGTCAGGCCACACACGAAAGAGTCTCGCTTTTACTTCTAGTTATAATTCTGATGCAACCAAGTTATTTTTTATATATTTTGTTATTTATTATTTTAATAATGGATTTTAAAAAAAGTGTTTTGTAACAGGAATTTTGATAATTTGGGATGTTTTTCCCTTGGTCCAGTGGAAAGAAAGACTTTTGGTTTTCTTTAGCCCTCTGGGTTCCTCTTGTTTCAGGCACGGACGACAGCAAATGGAGTTCTGTATTTATTACTATGTACGCGCAGCGCAGATGTGTGTGCTCTGGCGTGCTTCTCGTGTCGCGTCTGTGTGCTGGTGTCCGGGGGCCGAGTCACGCTGCTGTGCAGGAGTGCTGGCCACAGACAGCACCGAGCAGTCCCCGCCCACAGGCTCCCGGTCCTCTGGCAGCTCCGATACTGTGACCCTCCTTCCTCAGGAAACGCATTGAACCCACAGCACAGCACTTCTCAGTGTGTTTGCAGGGTGATTTCCTAATAAAAGTCCACTCTGACTGTGAGTGGTAGCCGTGTCTGTCTGTCCTCGAGTACTCTGACAAGTCACCCCAATGGGTGCGGCCCTCGCTCACCCTACTGGGGAGCAGGTGGGTGGGTGCGTGCTCCCATCTCAGGTCTTCCCCAATGCCACGTGTGGAATCTCCTTTGAGTAACCACCCTTTCCCTACCACAAGGAGTGGTTCTAGATGGTTTAAGTCACTGTGCCCTGCTCTCTGCCACATGACCGGACATGTGGGAGTCAGAGCTTTCTCCTAGGGTCAGTCTTTCTGCTGGGGTTGTGTCGGGGGAGTGTGTATGGAATGCAGGCTGGCCTGGGCCCTCTCCGTGGGCTCCACTGAGGAAGCCATCTGCAGGAGAAGATGTGGGGCCTTCTGCGGGGCTCACTGACCTGGTTCTGTCCTCCAGGAGCCAATATGTGAACAGAACTTCGACGCCTACGTGAGCACTCTCACCGACATGTACTCCAACCAGGAGTGCTACCAGAACCCCGAGAATAAGGACCTCCTGGACAGCATCAAGCAGGCTGTGAGGGGCATCCAGGTCTAGGCCTTGCCATTCAAGGAGCCATCTTGCTTATCTGGGGTGCCCAGGACCTCCTGAATTTGGCTTCATTGTTTACCTAGCCCTGCCCTCCCAGTGGAGATTTCCAACTCACAGTGACTTCTAGTTGGCAGTGTGGGGTGGCCCTGGGTGGGTTTATCCAAAGGGGTGCCTGGAAATAAGTGTCTCCCTTGATGCTCTTGCCAGGTGCGAGGCCTTGACCTCCCCAGGTGAGTGCAGGGCTGGGCGTGAAGTATTACAAAGTGATCTATTTTTTTTCTGAAAGAAATCTGAAGAGCAGCTCAAAGTCTCCAATGGAAGCTCATGGACAAGGTTCTCAGGGAAGTTTTGGAGTTTGCAACCACAGTATTCCTTTATCTGTCAAGGCTGGGAGGGTGACTGTGGGCATGGGGCAGGTGGTGCGTGTGATGGTGTCAGCCTGGAGCTTGCTCCCTGGGGCATGCGTCTGCTTGGTGAGGCCAATGTAGCAAGTATGTTTTCTGTTTCATTTATTCAGTTTTGTGTTAAGGATGGAACAAAGCACTGTTCCAGAGGGTAAGTTAGGAATAGGCTTGCAGCCCCTGTCAGCTCAAGAAATCTAACCTGGGAGGCTCCGGAAAGTTGACCGTTGGTTCAACATTAAAGCGCCTCATGCTGGGAGTGGCTGGCGTCCCAAGCCTGCAGCAGTCACCTGAGGGTTGGGGTCATGCTCCCTCTTGGGACTGTGGCTTTTAGACCCAGGTCTGGGCCAGGGCCAGGGTCTCTGGCTTTCTGTATGTCCACCCAGGCCTGTGACCCATCACTGCCACATTAACTGGGTCGCAGCTGAGCTTGACCGAGGTGGGTCCACACCAGTGAGGTAGGCAGATAAATTCCTGATTGGAGACCACCAAGGTCTCACTTATTTTTAGATACATCAAGATTCAAAAAAAGGCAAATTTTAATATGATGTGTTAAAAACACAAAGTTTCTAACATGTAAATAGAGTCCAATGGATTGTGACTGCAATTCCAAGTTAGTATTTAAAAGTAGAGAAATTGCACTTCCTGGAAGAAATAAAAAAGTAGTTAGTTTCATTACTCTGTAAATTATTTAATTTTGTCAAGATGTAAGTATTTATATTCACAACCTCTTATGTTAACGTTGCTATTTATTTAACATTTTTATTTATTAATTTCATGTATTTCAACTGCACCCTACACCAGGATACCACGAGAGGAAGATAGACGAAATCAAAGGAAAATGAACTCTCCAACCATGAGTCAGGCCACACACGAAAGAGTCTCGCTTTTACTTCTAGTTATAATTCTGATGCAACCAAGTTATTTTTTATATATTTTGTTATTTATTATTTTAATAATGGATTTTAAAAAAAGTGTTTTGTAACAGGAATTTTGATAATTTGGGATGTTTTTCCCTTGGTCCAGTGGAAAGAAAGACTTTTGGTTTTCTTTAGCCCTCTGGGTTCCTCTTGTTTCAGGCACGGACGACAGCAAATGGAGTTCTGTATTTATTACTATGTACGCGCAGCGCAGATGTGTGTGCTCTGGCGTGCTTCTCGTGTCGCGTCTGTGTGCTGGTGTCCGGGGGCCGAGTCACGCTGCTGTGCAGGAGTGCTGGCCACAGACAGCACCGAGCAGTCCCCGCCCACAGGCTCCCGGTCCTCTGGCAGCTCCGATACTGTGACCCTCCTTCCTCAGGAAACGCATTGAACCCACAGCACAGCACTTCTCAGTGTGTTTGCAGGGTGATTTCCTAATAAAAGTCCACTCTGACTGTGAGTGGTAGCCGTGTCTGTCTGTCCTCGAGTACTCTGACAAGTCACCCCAATGGGTGCGGCCCTCGCTCACCCTACTGGGGAGCAGGTGGGTGGGTGCGTGCTCCCATCTCAGGTCTTCCCCAATGCCACGTGTGGAATCTCCTTTGAGTAACCACCCTTTCCCTACCACAAGGAGTGGTTCTAGATGGTTTAAGTCACTGTGCCCTGCTCTCTGCCACATGACCGGACATGTGGGAGTCAGAGCTTTCTCCTAGGGTCAGTCTTTCTGCTGGGGTTGTGTCGGGGGAGTGTGTATGGAATGCAGGCTGGCCTGGGCCCTCTCCGTGGGCTCCACTGAGGAAGCCATCTGCAGGAGAAGATGTGGGGCCTTCTGGAGGGAGTCAGAGCTGAGAAATGGAGAAAGGAAGGTGGAAGTGGGATGGGGAGCAAGAGAGAACTCTGATGACCTTTTCAGAGTGCTTGGATCCAGCCACACCTGAAGGTCATCCACCCCTGCCCTGTCCAGTTACGTGCTTGCTTAAGGTAGGGTGCCTGTCCTGGCGCTAGGGTGGTACCTCACTGTTTTCACACTTTTGTATCAGGTGGATCTCTAGGTCTCCCAGGTGAGACTTAGATTTGGGGCTTCTATTCACATTCAAGCTGAACTGGCAGCACACTTTGACCTCCCTGGGAATCTGGCCCTGGAGGCCAACCTAGAGTTCTCATCTGACATGTGAGCAAAAGAAAATTCTTGAAAGTTCTGGGCCTCATTTCCAGCACCCCTGTCTGAGTCAGACAGGACACTTGGGGGCATGTGTTGTGTTCAGAGGGCAGCTGACCCTTGGGAGAGCCGCCCACAGCACCACAGCCCCACCCCTCACAGTGCTCGCCTTTCTCCCTCTGAGCATCTGCAATGCGCAGGCCTCTGAAGTCTGGTCTCTCCTCTTACAGCACCTTCTATAGCTCCCTCTGCCCATGTCCTGGCCTCCCTCCCTTTCTCACCGTCCTTACAGTGCGTGTCTGCTGTGTGCAAAGGACTCACACCTTTCCCTGAGCCTGCCTTTCCCAGGTACAGCCCCCTCCTGGGTCTTCACTTGGATGTCCCACAGGCCACAGAATGCATGCCCATGTGACCAGGACAGCCCCCTGGCTGCTCCCCGCCTGACCTTCCCTGGGCCCAGCCAGGCACCCACCCTCGTCCTTCGGCAGAGACACCCACACCAGCCACTCCCATCTTCCACTATGCATCCACAGGCTCCTCCACCCTGAACTGCCATTGCCTCTACTTACGCCTCCTGCTGCAGCACGGACTTCAGACAGCCCAAGAGAGAGCCAGGCACCTGAGCCCCTCGTACAGAGACCCCAGCAGCGCACACAACAGATACGGTGCACAACCCAGTTTTCCTAACTCATAGCCTATTCCCTGGATGGATTCTTCCTGCTGGGACTACGGCAGCTCCTCCTCTGGTTCCTCTTCTCAATGCCCACTGGATCTGACTGAGCCACCGAGGAGTCCAGCTGAGCTGGCACCCCCTTTGTTTTCCTGAGCAGGGCAGACCCACGGGCCAGAGGCCTGGGGGCAAATCCTGGCAGCACAGCCAACCCTCTGCATAACCCTGAGCAGCCTCCTGGTCCTCAGGTTCCTAGTCTGTGTGATGGGCACAATCATAGTGCCTGCACCAGGTGGTTGAGGGTTGGAGGAGCCTGTGCAAGTCGAAGGTCTCAGGGTCACTCAGGCATCATCAGTCGTCACTTCTCTTCTGCACCTGCTCAGAGCTGAGCCAGGTAGGGCTTTGTAGGGGGAGACTCAGCCCTGGTTGAGCCCTTCTACAGTTGGTCCCTGATGGGGCCTCGGATTATCAATCTCTGGCTGGGGACGGTCTCGGGCAGTGGCCCTGGGGGACATGGTGTGTGACTTGCAGGCACTCTGAGCACCAGTTTTCTCTGCCATTTTGACAGTTTCTACAAAGAAAACCATAACAGAATTAAAGACAAGGAAAACATTTTTGACAGTGTGTGAAACAGGCAGAAGCATGTCTCACTTGGCAGAAGATACCCTGGAACAGAAATGAGTGGGTCCAACAAGGGGTGTCCACTGGTGGGGGCCAGGGAGGGGGCTGCACTTTCCACCCTCAGTCTCCTGTCCCAGGGCCCATGTGGGGAGCAGGTCTTCTCTATGGGCTCCCCTGCCATCCCACCAGGCCTCTCATCCTGGGAAGTGGTAGGCTCCAGGGCTGAGAATATGCAACCTCCTCCACCTCTGTGGGGCACTAGGTGTGCCCGCAAGCCCTACACTGGCTCAAGAAGCTGCTGCGGGTGTGCTTCTCAAGAACCAGAACCAGCCCAACCCTGCTCCAACTGTGAACCCTTTCTAGGAGCAGGTGCTGAGTGACCAGAGGGCTGGGAAGTTCCCCCCATGAATACAGCAGTGAGCGTTGTGGGTGGCCCCCTTGGGAAGGGCTCCTCCACCCAACAGGAGGCAAGTCCTTGGGGAGGTTCGTCAGCGTAGGATTTTCAAAGCTGGTGCTGCTGGGCCAGAGGGCCCACTGATCTTGCGCACTGTGTCCATGCAGGGGCCCCTCCTTACCCCCATCAGTTGAGCAGGGCTGCTTTGTTGATTGACTGTCGCTAGAGCCATCCAGGGGTTTCTCTTAGGGTGGCCAGACTTGTCCAAGATCCCTTTTCTAGACTCATAAAGGCAGTTTTTC